AACAATGATGAACCTTGGGATATTACCGTAACAACTAAATAAAACTTTAAATATATTTTTCTTTTTTATTCAATTATAAATGAGAAGACGTTTCACAAGTCAAAAGAACACTAACGCAAAAGCAGAGATTACGGTTGGTTATAACGTAAATGATGATAAATCACGAATTATTCAAAATGTTAAAGTTAATGTTAGCCCTGAATTAACAAGGTCAGCAACTCAACCAAATTTATTAACTCGTGACTTACCGAAGAATGAGGAGAATGAAGAAAACCATGAGAATGGAGACCCAATCATTTTATCTGAACCCGGTAAAGAACCGTTGAAATCCCCACTTATCCAACATACCCCCCACCTCTTTCATCAAACATCGAGAACCCAGGAATATACGATTCCAGTCGCAATGCGCCATATAAAATAGACATTAATTCTGAATTAATGAAAATTTACCGTGATATAATAACTGATAATTATGATTCAATAATAAATTTAATTGATCAATCCGGTTTAATTATTTTACCTTATGAATCATTAATTCACATTATCGCCATTCTTTGTGATGTTCAAGATTCAGACGTTAAGATTCAATTTTTCATAGATGATGAGGTTTCATGCTGCGGAACAGTTGCAAAAATAAATCCTATAAAGGATATTAGCACAATTAAGATATCAAAGAACGGAACAACAACTGAACTTCATTTAACATATAATGATATTTATAATAAAATAGTTGATGAATATAAAATATCACTTGAAAAATTCTTTGTTAAGGCCATTTAATATTCAAGCATTAACATTATTGAATAATAATCCTTTGAATCATAATCAATAATAATTGACCTTTCACCAGTTTCTATCGTTTGTTTTATTTCTTTTTGTTCCCCACTATCTGGATCGGTCATTGTAATTGTTTTTGTTATAGTATCAGCTTTATCTTTAACTTCAATCTTTTTTCCATCAGGATATTTAAACCAAAATTCCAAAAATTCGATATTGTCAATCTGTTCATATTTTAATCTATCAATTACATTTTTAATACCATCTGAAAATCTTATGAAATGGTCATTATATGGGTTTGATTGAACTAAATTTGAATGAAGTGAAATATAACCCGATGATGAATATGACATTGACTCATATTTTCTGAAAACACTGAAATTTATAACATGAATGAATTTCTTATTCGTTGAATTTATGAATTCTTGAGGTAATCTTATTCTAGTTTTATTTATCACTGGAAAATAACGCTTTACCATATTTTTAATCGTAATAAAAATGTCAATTATCAATATTATTTCGAATAATAGTTGTGAATTAAATTTAACAGTTAGAATTTATAATGTTACTCTCGTTTCTGTGAGTGGTAAATTTAATCCCATTCTTTTAGACCCTTCAGATTATATATCATTTATTAAAGATGACCTTGAAAAAACGTATGATATGTATATAAATAATGTGATAACGAAATGGGATATTAACACAATTTTAAGTTATTTAAATGAATCATTTATCGTTTGGTATGAAGAAAATTTTAAATCAAAACCTGATAAACTTTTTGAACTTGATGAAATAAATAACCTTATTAAATTCCCGCTGAAAATTAAATTTTGTACTCCTCATCTTCGTTCATTGTTGGGGATATTAAATTTGAAAAAGATGTTGGGGATGTTTTGTATTCTGACACTGGTTCCAATTTCATTTTAATCAAATGTGATAAAGTTAATACCCCAATGAGATTTTCACATCAAACATTAGACCCTAACTCTTACCCATCAATACAAAACATTTTATCCATCAACTTAAACATATTTTCTTTATCATATCCGTTTCAATTATCCGGGAATTCATTTATTCTTCATTCAAAAGATTTATCAAATATTAAATTTAGAATAACTGACCTATTTGATTGTGATTTAGAATTTATGAATGAAATATTATGGCAATTTCAAATAGAAAAAATAGCTGATGAGATAACAGATTAAATATTTATTTTTAAATCATAATAAATGATTAAACAACAGCAACCACAGCAACTTAAGGCAAGACCATTACTTACGCCACATATGCATATAATTCAAAGACGGCAGAACAAACAAAGGTTGAAATATGGAGATTTGGAGATAGTATTGAAAAATGACCATTTTGAATTCGTTTGCAAGGGTGGTGCAGTGATATCAAATATAAAAGAAATTTTATTTATGAATTCAAAAATTAAAGGTATAACGGATGATATAACATCAATTCCACCAGAAGAACAAAGATATTACGCATTAAATGCATTTCCTAAAGTTTTGAAGATTGGAAGATTTAATTTAAATGAGGAATTCATAAAGGTTTCCTAAATGACATAATGAAGAAGCAGATAAGGAATATGTGGATAGTGAGTTAGAGAAGAAGGCAGATAAGGGACTTGTGGCTAGTGCATTAATGAAGAAAGCAGATAAGGAATATGTTAATGAAAAAGATAATGAAATTATAGAAAGGGTTGAATGGTACCATGAACGGACATCGAAGATTCTTAAAACTAAAGCTGATACAGGATGGGTTTCAGAATGTTTAGACCTTAAAGCGGATAAAACTTATGTCAACAGTGAGTTAATGAAGAAAGCAGATAAGGAATATGTGGTTAGTGAGTTAGAGAAGAAGGCAGATAAGACTCATACACATACAAGTTTTACAACTTTTACAGCAGATGATATTACACTAAACACAACCTTGCCAAGTAAAGGTCCAACAATACCACCGGCAACAAGTCTTGTAGATACTTTGATATCTAATGACAATAGTATTATGCATCTAAGACAGGAACTCAATGTGCTTAAACAAATTTTGCCGAATCTTATTTACCCGGTTGGCTCATTATATGTTTCAATGAACTCTACCAGACCAGAAGTAGTACTTGGTGTTGGTGCATGGGAACAAATAGTCGACAGGTTTTTGTATTGTGCAAACTCTTCAAAGGAAACAGGGGGAAGTAAAACGATTACAGGTGAAAATTTACCTGCACACAGTCACTACATAGATTTAAGCACATCTCAAGCGGGTTGGCATAAGCATAGATATTGGGATTGGTCAGGAATGACAAAAGGTAAAGGATATGATGTTAAAGACGACGTTAAGTTTGCCATAAATTGTTACTGGAGTGACACTCAGGGAGAAGGAAACCATACACATCGCGTTTCAGGATATACGCAAACAACGGGACAAAGTAAAGACTACATGCCACCATTTATGACTGTATTCGCGTGGTATAGAGTTCAATGAACGCTCAATGTTTGTGAAACAAACTTTAGAACGGACTGAAAGTCCTGAGCTCCAAAAGAGCAAACGGCATAATTTAAATTTTTATTTTAGTATAAATGAAGATTCTACCATATGGTGTTATTGGAAGAGATAAAGATGGAAACCCAATATTTGATCCAAAGTTAAAATTAAAGTTACTGACAAGACAACAACTTGAAAAGTTGCTGAAACCAAAACAGAATGAAAAATGAGAAAATGAGAAAATGAGAAAATGAGAAAATGAGAAAGAAAAAAATTTAAATTATGCAATTTTATTTTTATCATAAATGACCAAATTAATTAAGCCAACTATTTCTAAATTAATGATACCAATGAAATCATTTCATGGAGTACTTATCCCAGGTTCTTCACAATTAGCCGGGGCAAGTGTTGTGACTCAAAGTGGAACATTAGCGAATCCATTCAAATTATTAACTAAAGATGAACTTAATAAAATGATGATAAAATAACTGATAACAAAATTTTATTTCACTGCTACCATAAAAACAGGTGAAAAAACAGGTGAGATCTCACCTCTTCACCTCAATTATATTTTCGGTTAAAGCTTCCACGAGAGAAAAGATTCCTCATTCGCTAAGGATTCCAAAAATGAAAAAATCATTGATTTCGGCTGAGAAAAAATAGCAAAACCCTTCTTCCACGGGAACAAAGAAATAAAGAAGAAATAAAGTAAATTTTTTATTTATTCCCGTGGAAGATAGAGCACTTTTATGACACTTTTTATTCACGACAAACAAGACAAACAAAGAAAATAAGAAAATACGGCGCTGTCGCTGTTCGAACCACAGACCCTGACCCCTCCATAACACTACCTTAGACCACTGTGCTACGTAGCCTGTCGACATAAGATTTTATAAATTACATATTTGACGTAAATTTATTTCCCAGTTATTCAATAATTAATTATTATTGAAGAACTGAAGGTGTCACTATGTCACTCAGTGTCACTCGGTTATTTAACTTCTCTGAAAAAATGAGACAACATGACATTTTGACAACAGGTATGGAAATTTGATGCAGCCCAAAAATAAAGTTAGTTTTAAAATTATTTTTATTTTTTTATTCCTATATAAATGACAACAACAAACAACAACAGCAACTTTATCGTTTCTGATGAAAAAGTTATTGATTCATTAGCTGAGGAATTAGTTGTGACAGAAACTAAAACCCTCAACGAAAGAATTGGTGAAAACAAGATTGATTTACATAACTACCTCAAACACGATGGAGGAAGAGGAAGGAAAACTGGTATGGCTTTATTAGTAAATAAAATATCAAATTTAACGATTATAGATGTTGATATCAATAAATCATACAATGATGAACTTAAAGAAACAGTTAGAAAAGACATTTTATCAAAACTTTTGGATAAAGATGTTATCGTTAAAACCGCTTCAGGAGGTCTTCACATTTATTGTAACACTAATTTCTTCTATTCAGTTTCGAACAGAATGATTAAATGCTATTCCTGCAATGATTACGATATTGATATAATGACTTCTATGGATGATTCAAAGCGTTCTTTAGTAGTTATGGCTGATTCAAGAGTTCGCAAGAATGCAACAGAACCAATCAATACATACTCATTCATTCGTGGAAGTTACGACTCGACCATAACCAGAACAGTGAATGATATATTAAATGATTTGAATATTAAGGTAAGAGTTGAACAGAAGAACGAAGAAATAAAGACTATCATGAATGAAAACAAAGATGTAAACATTGACGATAAACTTGCCCAGAGCATAGTTGATGGCATCTGTGATTTTGAAGTACATAATGACGGTGGAAATATGAATTTAGAAAAAGAAGTTACATTATTCACACTGTTTCAAGCAATTAATTCATTACCTAATCATTTAATTAATGAAGCATACGATAATGTTTATAACTTCTGTAATTTAACTGAAAAAGCAAAAAGTAATTTTGAAAAAGCACGTAATAGATATGCACATTTAATGACTTCTCCATTTGTTTTGGTGAAGATTCTAAAACTATATCAAAAGGAATATTATGATGAATATGTTTTACCTTTATTACGTAAGCCAAAAATAACATTTGATATCAAACTTGATGACTCGTTTTTGATAACAGATATTAGACGCAAGGCTGAAAATCATCAGTATAAAAACAGTTCTGAAGTAATTGAGGATTTATCACGTGTAATCCGTTTTGTAGATTGTGGAAATAAATATTTCATTCAAAAAGATTACAACATACACGACAAAATGAATCAAATATCATTCGTTCTTCAATCAAACATGAAAGAGTCACTCAAAATGATTAAATTATTTAAAGAAGAAGGTAAAACCATAACAGCATGGGATGTACTACTAAATCAATTGTCTTCATTAACCGTTAAGGGTGTTTGCTTTAAATCTGATTCTCCAGATGTTTTCTCAACGTTTCAGGGTTATAAATACAACGTTCTTGAAAAGCCTGATTACTCAAAAATTGAGATGTTTATGGATTTCATTAAAGAAGCCATTTGTGATAATAACGATGAAGTGTATAAATACCTTCTCGGCTGGATTGCATCAATGATTCAACATCCTGGAATCAAGAATGAAACAGCAATTATTTTGAAAGGACTTCAGGGAACAGGTAAAAACAGATTCACAGACATTATTTCTGAACTTCTCGCTGGTTATTCATGTAAAAACATTACCGAAATAGGTGAGCTAACGGGTAATTTCAATCTAGTAGTAGTTGAGAATAAAATGTTTCTTGTACTTAATGAACTCAAGAATGTAGGTGAAGATAGACTCGCAAACTTCAACGCTTTGAAATCAATTATAACGGATAATGAGATTAGAATTAATGAAAAGAATCAACCTAGAAGAACAGCACAGAACGTTGCAAACTTCATTTTCGTAACTAATAACGTTTACCCTGTCAAAATTGAAGTTGGAGACAGAAGATACGTAGTTTTAAGAGTTAATGGTAAATTTAAGGGTCAATTTGATTACTTCAAGAATTTAATGGATTCATGTACAAAGGAATTTTATGATAATTTACTAACATATTTTATGCAATATGACCTTTCATCATTTAATGTACGAATCATACCGATGACTGAAGCCAAACAAGATTTAATCGAGTTATCATCAAATCCTTTAGATGTATGGATAAATACACATTATGATGAATTGTGTGCAGGTATGACGTGTAAAAATGCTCTATTCTGCAAACCATCAGACATGAAAGACAAGAATTTTCAAATGAGTATTAAGGATAAATGTGATAAGAAACAGAGAAGAATAGATGGTAAACAGACATGGTATTATGTTTTGAAAGAAGAAATGAAAGGATTATATAAACAGGTTGAACCAAACGATAATGAGGATTCATTTCCTGATGATGAAATACCTGTCAATGAAGCTTTATAAAGTATGATTTGAATTTATTTTTGCATTAATCCCCCATGTTGTCAAAATGTCATGTTGTCTCATTTTTTCAGAGAAGTTAAATAACCGAGTGACACTGAGTGACATAGTGACACCTTCAGTTCTTCAAAAATAAATAATAAGTGCCTTCCTCCTTTCATACCTGTTGTCAAAATGTCATGTTGTCTCATTTTTTCAGAGAAGTTAAATAACCGAGTGACACTGAGTGACATAGTGACACCTTCAGTTCTTCAAAAATAAATAATTATTGAATAACCTGAAATCATTAACGATAAAATAAGTGATAACAAATTTTTATTTTTATCATAAATGAATACCCCACAAGCTCAAAATTTACCACGAATCATAACAAGGGAGGAAATGATAAAAATGATGCAAGAACATGTTAAAAATAACAAACCACTAAAACTGAGAAAATGTGGTTATGCAGTAATGATGGAAAGAGAGATGTTGTCGAAGAGGAATAAAAATTAAATTTGGATTGAGTTTAAAAATTCATCTTTATTAAATTCATCTCTTCCAATCAATTTATTTATTCTATTAAATTCTTTTATTTTTGCTTCACTCAGTTTAAGGATTGAACGGTAAGTTTCTAATTTTTCGATTATTTCTTTCCTCTCTTTATCGTTTTCAACCCCACCGCATTGTGGCTTCTTTTTGTAATAGCATATTTTTGATTTAATTCTGTTTAGTTTCTTTTTATATTCATCGTCTGGACTCTTGGATGCTTCGTTGTCACTCATTTCTTACGAAATAAAAAAATTAAATATTATTTAAATATAATGGAGTAATAAAATAAATCGGAATTTCTATTAATTTATTGTTAACCTCAACTAATGCATTGCCGTTAATATATCTAACAAATTCAGCTATTGTGTCAAATCTTCGTCTTCTTTTTGTCATTGATTTATCAGTTTTTCCATAATCGAGATGAATCAAAACTTTATCCCTTGTTTAAAATTCATGAGCCCCGAATTAATTTGTTCACGTTTAACATCATTCAACCTTTCCATTTGCTTTCTAATATATTCCCATTCTTTTGAAATATCATTTTTCATTTCCACTGGTTTCATGTTTATTGTTCTATGCCATGTATTATTGTAATAATATACTAACTGTTGTATGATGGAGTCATGATTTCCATCCCAGTATATCTGACCGTTAACCCCTAACGCATCTCTAAGAGTTCTCATTACCGCATCAACTATTTTATTATGAAACGTATATGGAGAGGATGAAAAGTAAAAATTAATTTGTGGGAAATAATGAGTCATAGCTGCCTGAAATCCTTTATCACCATCACCCCTGATATTATCTACTCTTCATGATCAATAAGTATTGAATAGCTCTTCTTGTTTCCTGTTCTGTTTTCCCTTTCACCGGAATGCAATATAAATATTGGTGTTAATGTTAATGCAAATAAATAAGTAACTTTCCTTTTGAATATTCTAAATGATCATTTCATATGAATATGGATATGGTGCAAATGAAGGGCGACTAAATTTTCCTTTAACGGTTGAATTTTTGGGTCAATTGGTTTATTTAATATCTTGAAATCCTTTTTAAAATCTTTTTGTTTCTTTAATGTTTGAAATGGATATAATAAAGTGAATGATGAAGGATTAACTGAAGGAGGAGGCGGTTTTGGTGTTGCAGGTACTGTCGTTAGAGGTTTTGGTGTTGCAAGTGGTTTAATTTTATCTGCTTTGATTTTGGATGATGAAGTTTGGAATTCATTCCTTCCTTCATTAATTCTGGATGTATTCTATTCATTTGTTTTAAATATGCTGTATATAAAGGTTTAATATACTTTCCCGCTTCGAGTTTATGTTGAAGGATGAATTCCAAAAGTTGATCTTCATTTAAAAGTCGGGCTGAATATGGTTTAACTAATGAATCATAAATTAAAGCTTGTGCTTCATTTATGGTCTGAAGGACCTGGGCGTTTGCACCTTTTGTTTTTGCTCCTTTTTTTGGTTTTTGCGGCTCAGGATTATATAATTTATATAATTCATCAATATCTTCTTCTGTTAATACTTTATTTTTAAAATCTTTCAATTGTTTCAGTTGTGATTTATTTTTCCCTTTGAATATTCATTATTTAATTTTGTCTTTAATTTTAGAAATTATTTTATCATGATATTTCAAAATTTCATTTTTATAATATGGATAATAATATCCATATCATCACTCGTTATATTGTTATTATATTTTGGAGATATGATTTTAATTCATAATAACTAAGAATTTTTGATTAAGTACTAAATCATCAATTAAATTTTCTAAATCTGAGTTATCCATATAAAAATAAAATAAATGTTTTAAGGGTGCCCACCTCTTTGAATCATAGTATCAAAAACATCATTAACGGTTCCTTTTGTCTCTTCTGTGGCATTTTATTAAATAAATGGCATACAACATCCATTTTCACAACACACAGCCTTAGTGTGTGCTCCTGTTAATGCAGTCTTACCAATTGTTAAGCGAGTCATTGACCCATTTTTAAGTTGTAAATTAATATTCTGACCATCAAATATCACTTTATCATTTATTATATCCAAATAATTTTTAGGTGTTAATTGTTTATTTTGTCGTAAACTAACTCCTTTCATTTTTTGTGCAATCTTTTTAAAATCACTTCCATCAATTGAACCGTTGAATGATGTATAACACTTGGGGCATAAAGCAACCATGTTATCACCTTGTTTCTCAATTGCTAAACCCAATAACTTCTTCTCATGTGCTTTTTCTTCAGCTTTATTCTTTAATTTAGGTTTAAATTTCTCATTAAAACAAAAGAAATCAAAAGGTGCGAATTTGTAAATGTTTTATCATAAAATTGTTTATCAGTAACAATTGCTTGAAATGCTTGAGTGTTAGGAAGATTTGGGTCGCCAGCGATTGCCCAATAAGATGAATCAGTATCACCTTCAATGAAATGAAAACGATTAACATTCATGCATTTATACATAAAATCATAAATGAAAACCAAATACCAGTATTTTGCGTTATCTAAAGTGAAGAATGCCTCTTGTAAACATGTATCACATCTATAAAATCTATCTTTAAGCATCACTTGATACGTATCTTCACCTATTTCTCTTATGTTTTTAAACTTATTTGACATACATGCAACGCGTGCCTTCTGTGCATTCATTATTTTAGTCTTTGCGTAATTTTGTGTATTCATTGCATCGTAACCATATGATCCATTAAGTGAAATCTTGCAAAATAAACTTTTTCCTTTATTTCCTTCTAATTCAGCCTTTTGTCTTTCGTTCATAAATTCGTTCGCAAATTCATTAAAGCAAGTGTTTTTCGTAAATGTTAAAATTGATTGAATATCATCAATGATAAAATGAAATCTGTCTATTAGATACCAAAGATAATAAGAAGAAAATGGTTGATATTGGTTGTGTGTTGATGCTAACTGAGTTAATTTCCTCTGTTTCTGGTCAACTGGTAGATTGTTTGATTTCATGTAATTATACATAAAACTGCCAATTGTTTTTTCATCTGTGATAATATCTAAGTTTCTTATTATTGGTAAAAAGTTTATGTAATCATTAATGTATTTTTCATCAATGTGACCCTTTACTTCAGCCACGAATAAAGTATTTTTCTTTCTAATTATTCCCAGTGCTTTTGCTTTCTTTGTTGCTGTATCACAAATGATAACACCATTCAATCTTCCCGGCATATACATTTTATGGTCAGTATATTGAATGAAATCATGAGGATTAGATGAAAATGATGAAGGATATAATGAATTAAAATCAACACCAACAAAATGAGTCATAATGTTGGTGGTGTCCTCATTTGATACAGTTTTAGTTTCTGGATTATATGAAAGTTTATTAATGTGCGTGATTCCTTTAAGATTAACACGATGTTGAACATTTGATAGACCACCAGTAATTCCATTACGGAGAATGTGATAAGCTTCAACTGAATCTAAAGTCATTGGTAAATTATTTTTTAATGCATAATTTCTTAAATTGATTCTTAAACGTTGAACATCTTCATCTTTATTTGATTTTACGACATTGCAATAACAACACATTAACTGACGATTTTCTTTGGTATGTGGTTTTTCATTATCGATTCTATCCAATGTTGGTTTATTAGCATATGTAAACGCTTTACCACACATTTTGCATTTAGATGAAAGGATTAAATCGTGATAGTATTGATAGTCATTCATTGAAACATTGTTTTTAGTATCCCTTTCTGCTTTTTCATCTTGTTTCTTATATGATTCAATTTTATATTTCCAATACTTTTTCGTTAATTCAAAACTTGATTCCACATTTTCTTCTTCTGGATATGTTTCGTTAGGATTGAAGTTCTTATATGCTAACGCGTAACGAATCATTGATGCATTCGATGATAAAGAAAGATTATGAAGCATGTCAATTTTATAAACAAATGTTTCTTCGATAATTTTATCAATTGGGTCAATCATAATTTCAACGTCTTTATTGCAATAATGAATAAAATATTCTAATCTATTCTCAAAATTTTTAGCATCATTGAGATATATTTGATAATCTGAATCGGATATAGTTTCTTGAGTTAATGCTGAATAAAATGAATCTTTCGTGAATGGTTCCTTTTTATATAATTCATCTTCGTAATTTTCCCACGTGATGAATTGATAAGGGAAAAAGGATTTAACACGTGATTTATTGTTTCCGAAATCTTGAGTGAATTGGTCTAATGTCCCACCCGCTATATAATTTCTGATGTCAATAAATCTTAATTCATATGGACAGTTTTTCTTTACAATGATTTGCTTAAATTGAGAAGATGAACCCAGCATTGATTTTATTTTCCATTTTGCAGTGTTTAAATCACGAAGAATTAAATTTAAATCAAACTTTCCCGAATTAAAACCTATGATATTCACTTTATTAAATTCTTCATCTAGAAGTTCTTTAAATGCTTCCTTTTGTTTCTCATTTAATGTATGAGACAAAGTCCCCGCCGTTTGGTCCGTTTGCGGCTTCATTAATTCTTCATATTGTTCAATATTTGATTTAGCAACTAATGAACAGGTTGAAAATAAAAACTCAATCCAATCAGAAATAAAAGAATCACTCGAAGTTAAGCAAAAATTCCTCGTAAATGTTTTATCACGGTCTACGACCTCGCCACTTTGCGGCTTTATTTTGACAGTTGATGATACCATAAATGGTTTTAAGTAAGCGTTCAAAGTTGCACATTCAGAAAGTTGAAGTTCTTCTTTAGTCTCTAATGTTTCGAAGTCAAAAGTAATATAATATCTTGTTGGTTTATAATATTCCTGCAAATTATGTGCTAATAGCCATTGATATATCTTCTGTTTCGTGATATGTGGTGCATATGGTTGTTGTGTGTTTTGCAATTGAACGTCTTGAATTAATCTTCCATTATTTTCTTTACATTTCTCACAATGTTTTAAAAATCTTCTTTGATTTTTCCTTTCTGGATCATCACGGATAGAATAAACTTCTTCTTTGCAAAAGGGGCAAACTTTATAGCCGGTGAGTGCTTCAACGTCTGTTATTCTGTCAGCGTGAAGTTTTCCACATGGACTCTGTGTTAATAAAATATTTACTGTTTCAAATTCTGGATCTATCATTATTGAATCCACTAATGGAAAGTCTACCTTATTTATGTCTACGTCTTCCGGTTGAGGGTCACAATAATAAAAATCAATATTAACGTTTAACATTCTTGCTAACCTCTCACTTTCTGATGAAATGTCAAATCCTTCATATGCATCTATGGCTTCATTTAAATAACTTCTACGAGTTTTAGGATTAACACCATCAGGAATGTTATAGAAGCGTTTAAATAACCTTCTACCTTCTGCTCTTATTTGATTATCATTCATTTTAGCTGTTCCGTTTTTGTTCATTTATGTAAGAATAAAAAATTAAAAAATAAATAAAAATAAAGTTTATTTTTTTTAAAGTCCAGGGCTAAAGTCCATAAAATGAATTAAGAACACATAAATTTTTATCATCCGCGACGTGACGAATACATTTTAATTTACTCAAGAATGCGTACCCTGATACATTAAATCTAATTCCTGTCTTATTTAATTTCACAACTTTGAAAAGGAATGTATGAATAGCTATAAAATGATGAGATGATGTTTTATGGGTTGCTTCCATTTTTTCTGAAATAAATGAATAAATATAATGTTTATAAGTTTTCATATCTTTTATGTTCTTAATAATGAATGGTATAGACCTTTCAACTTCGTCTTCCTTCGGTGCTGTTCTTTCATATGAAACATTATTGGTATCTTCAATAATGAAACCACAATCGCATAAAATTTTATATGTACCAATTGTTTCTTTTGATATTTTATCTAACAAATCAAAAACTTTATCAACACCTGTACATTTATTTAAATAATAATTTGTGTAAATATCATGGTCTTCTTTCTTAATCGTATTTGTTGCATATGTTACATTTTTCAGTGCTTTTTTGAATTTTTCAGAATCAAGAGGAGGTGAAAGTAATATACATGGATAATCTCCATCGTCAATAAATTGTAACTTATGTTTATGAATAAATTTTGTGCCTTCTTCTGAAAGTGTTTCGTCAATATCACCATCTAATAAATTTTTAGTAGATTCTGAGACATAATTTTTATATCTTTCTTCATGAGATTTTTGAACTTCTGATTCTGAAGCTGGGATATTCATTAAACCCTCTACTTCATTTTCATTATATTTTTCAACTTCTCTTAATTCCTTAATTTTTTCATCTATTTCATCTCTTATTTTTTCCAGTCTTTCAATTTCATCATATTCATCATCTTTAATCCGTTCTTCATAATATTCAGGGAAAACATCAGGTTCTTTAGGTTTTTCTTCTTCAGATGTGAGATATAAGAAATTTATAACATCATCTTTATTCATTTTTCCATCATAATCAAACTCATTTAAAAACTCCGCGAATTTTTGACAATTTCTTAAATAATATTTACTAACCTCATAACCCGCTTCCTCTAATATATCCTTTATTTCCCTGTTTGTGAATCCCAATTTTTTAACGTCGTTAGTTTTGACACTCATTTTCTTACGAATTAAAAAAATAAATTATTCAAAAATGTAAGACATGAATTTTTAAAGTTTATTTTTTTATTTTTTTATTTTTTTTTATTTCATTATGTATGGGTTTAGTGTAAATGTCTTACAATTTTGAAAATTTTTTAAATCTTGATTTATTCAAAAACGTAAGAATAAAAACCGTAAGAATCATACATTTTTTACTTCATATGTTAAAAAAAATGATACAAAATCGCTCGATATTGTATGAATTCTTACGTTTACAAAAAAAGTCACAAAACCCGCATCATATACTACTCAAGTAGTGTAACTTTTTTATCTACTTTCTCATTTATATCAAGATTTGGGAATTTGGATTTAAGATCATCAACTTTATCCCATGCAATATAGTATAAAGGAGATTCTGTTGAATATAAATTCAGAATTTCTTCTTCTTCCATTATAGGTTCAAAGTTTTCGAATTTGAAACCTTGAAAATGTACAAGTGCTGCTAATCTCTTGTTTTTTGGTTCATAGATACATGAAAATGCGTTTGATATCTTTTGATAAAGCTCTGAAAATAATTTGATTTCTTTAACTCGAATTTGTGAAAAAATATCAATCAAATAAAGTGCCATTTGGATAGTTATTTTGCAAGTTGTTATTAATTCGATAATTTGTGAAGATATTTGTAAAATATTATTGGAATTGACACCCCAAATAATTTTTGATGCTTGATCTGGGTATTCGAATACTTTAATTGGCTTAAGGTCACTGTAAATGTGCTCATTTTCATTTTTTGGCTGCCCTGCTTTGAAAAAAATTTTGAAAAGACAAAAAAAAATCATACTCTTTTTTACTTGTTTGGCTGCGAATTGGTCTCTTGAAAAAAGTTATTGATTGCAAAAACCAGAATTTGCATCTTCTTTTAATTGAATTCGAAGTATGGTTTGTTTTGTAAATGAGTATTTACTCCTGCTTGAATTTAATTCATATTTCTGACAATCGACGTATCGAACAATTGAAATTTAACTTTAAATAGGTGAAAGCCGTGTCATATTGAATGAAATTTGCTCTTCAATATCTTAAGAGTCCACTAACAACTATCTGATATATTCTCGAAATGCCGATTACAGGATTGAAAAGACAAAGAAAATAAAACATTTTCCATGTTAACTGAGATGTAGCCATTAAAGGACTTCTTTAATATGAGCTGAATACATGATTTAGAACTCAATATTGTTTTACAAAATGGGAAATTTAAATATGCATACATTATTTTGAATCAGTCAAATCTAATGCATATTCACCAGTTATTGAGAGGCCTTCAAACAGTTTGAAGACAAAATGTAAAAAAAAGTATAATTTAAAATGAACTATTTAAAATATAAAAAACGAAACTTTTTTTAATTGTTTGCGTTAGTTCCACCTTCGTTCAGACACATAATATGAGTAACAGTGTTATCAGGTCTTACGTAAAACAGCTGATCATGGAACTCTCTTCCACAAATTGCACAGAAAGTATTTCCTGTTATATGAGCGTATCCGCCCTTTAAATATTTCAGTTGCTGCTTCTTTCTCTTTATTGTTTCTTCCAAAAGTGCGTTTTCTATTTCCAACCTTCTTAATTCGTTAACTCTGTCAACAGAGACTGTTTCAAGTAGCTTGGATATGTCGTACAATGTAACACTCGATGGCAACTTTGAAATCGCTTGTGCATAATCGATTTCTGTGGAATTGTTGTTAACAAGTGTTACAATTCGTTTCCTGTTAACATCTGAGTCTTTTTCAACCAGTTTATTTAATAATAATGTATAAATTTCACCTGGATTAATTGAGAGCTTTTTAGCGGTTTTTTGACAAAAATCTTGGGTTATTTCGAAATCTATCTCAACTTTGCATAACAAGTCGAAACAGTCCGACAGCTTTTGGAAGAAGTGGCTCCTGTTCTCGGAAGACCCATTAATGTTCTGTTTCAAGAAGGAATAAACAATCGAGTAAACTTTTTCTTCAATAAACACAGGATCGATCTCTATCTCTACTTCTCCGAGCTCAAGTACTTCAATGAGACCTTTCCGAGTCAACTTGTTCTGTTCGTTCTCTTGCGAAATTGAGATATACTGTTTACCGGCGCGTTCCTTGGTCAAAGGCTGTAGTTTCTTTATGTATAACTCGCATAACCTCATGCACAACCTCTTATCTACGAAGTTTTTGTCGAAAATACAAAAACGTAAAAATTTGATTTCTACTAACGTAACATCTATCTTTTTAACGATGTCCTGGTTGTTACTTAAGTTCTGGATGAAGTTTAGCAGCGATCCATCCTTTCCTACTGAGCCTCCCTCGATAATATGATTCATATCCAAATTTGGAGAGCAAAATACTTCATAGCTTCGCTCAGGAATGTAATCAACCAAATCCTTGAAGTGAGTTTTGGCCAAAACAGCGTAATCCGGTGAAGAAGTGATGTATTTTATAATTGAATCGTAATTTTTCTTACTTTGGAAGTATTTTATAGCTCTTGTGTGTTGCCCATGTACTTGGCATAGCTGGCAGAACATTGATACTGAGTTTAATGACATAAAGAAGTTAGATGTCGACTCGAAATAAATATCTGAGTAATGTTCCTTAATAAAAGTCTCGAAATTGTCCGGATCCGTAATCGCAATACATTTTGCCAGTATTGAGTATATAATTAACTGGTTCATTGCGTCAAAATTCTTTTGAGAATCAAGAACAAAGTAAATATAGTCCTGTAGAGCCTTAACTTTCTCGACATCGTAACTCTTGATGCCAGTTACGTGTCTATCTTTCACTTGCAAGTATGGTTTCTTCAATGATACGATCTCAAAATTACTCAAAGCTTCGTGAGGGAAAATTTCAGGGAAATATTTGAATACTTGTGCAGGAGGAAGTAAATCTCGTTGGAAAAATTGAAAGGCTTCGGTTACTTTGTCTTGAGTTAGCAAATAAGCACCGTACTTATGGAATAACTGGTGCTCAATAAGGGAGATGTCTTTCTCTGACTCTTGGAATGAGAGACAAAGCTCTAAAGCTGTTAAACTTGACTTGTCTCCGCCAGATGATTCGACAAAGTTCACTTGGCTGTAGGCTTCTGTAAATTTGATGAAGTAGAGGTTATTAGAAACACCTAACAATAACATTCGGTTGGGTAAAATGCATAATGTTTGTGATGTAAAAGAATTTGAAAATTCATATTTTTGATTTAATTGTTCGAATGGAATACAGATCATGGAAAATGTTTTTCCGTATGTAATAAACGCGTATGGATAGCTAATTGTGAAATCAACGACTTCGCTTCCTGCATTTAATTTCAAATCTTGAAATGGGCCTTCCCAAACAAAGCAAATTTCATTGGAATCGCTCTTTCTTATTTTGTAATACTGATATGCGACATTTTGTTCAAGAACTTTGCGATCAAACGATTTTGGCATATATCCCTGCGCAACACCAAATCTGCTGAAGGAACCAGCTGGTGGAGGTACATTATTGAACGTCTCTGAGTTGAACATGAACAGCTTTTCGCCCTTTCCGTAGATAATTGCCGAATCATTTGTGCAAACAATATTTGAATCTTGGCATTCGATAGATTTACCGAGTTGTCCGAAATTGTTTGCCAATGATAGGAAGAATAAACGCTTTTTTGATAACACTAAAAGTTTCTCTCTGTTTGGTTTTATTGCAAAATCATCAATAGGATCAGGAATAGTAGTAATGGGTGTTGGAATCATTGTTGTTGAGTTGACATCTTCTGGTATTGAATATAGTTTCTGATTAACTAAGACAATTAAAGAGTAATTTCTAACAATATGCGAAACTTTATAATGCGGGACGATTTTCTTGATTTGACATTTGCCCCATGGATGGAATTCCGTAAATTCTTGCTTCTTTGCGAGTTTTAGATTCACAAATAAAGTTCTATAGATTTTTCCGTCTTCTGTAACAACGTAAGCGAAAGAATCAGTGTGAACAATGAATTTGATTTTTTCTGTATCGCCAAAAGTGTGCTTTAATTGAGGAGAATCAAATAAAGGAAAATCTTTTGACATTTTGATTTTTTTTTCTGACACCATATCATTTCAATTCATAGAAGCATAAGATAAGATATGTAAGACTTTTTATAAGCCTGAGATGGAGATTAGAGGCTGTTTATTCATTGCAAATCCGTGTATTGAAGTTTTTATTTTGAATTCACGAATCATTAAGCATATTCTATTCAAGCATTATTATCTAGTGATGATTTAAAGATCTATGATGACTTTCGAATGATTCAAAAATGTAATTTTCTATGATGATTCCGATTCGATGAGGAAAATTCGACAAACTTAGACAATGTATGTTGTAGATATGGTTTGACGGATAATATTTATCACAAAACATCTCATTCTTTTAGTAAATATAATCTTTGGAAATAATCTTGATTTTATGCAAAATGTTATCTACAATATATTATGTGTAGAGTATCTTCAATGTGTATAGCAATGAAATTGAATCAGAATGAGCATAATACAATGATATTGAAACAAATGAAATTTTAAACGTCATTTTTTATTATGAGTGATTCGGAATTAGAATTCTCTCTTGAATCATCAAAGAATCCTTCACCAGTTAAGAAAAAAGATGTTAAACCTATGAAAGCTGATTCAGCTTCAGATGAAGACTCAGAAGATGATTATGAAGAAGATTCTGATGTTTATGAAGTTGAAGATATTTTGGGTCATAAAATTGTTAACAACAAAACTTATTATCACGTCAAATGGAAAGGATATCCGATAGAAGAAGCCACTTGGGAAATCGAAAGTAATTTAAATTGCGATCAAATTTTAAACAAATACTTAAAATCATATGAAAATTATATTGATTCGGCGCAATTACCAGGAAAACCAATTCCAATTCCTAAACGTGTGCTGAAAATCAAAAAATCAAAAGATGATGAAATTGTTTATGTTGTGCAGTACAAAGATGGAAAAACTGCTGATGTCACATCTGAATCTATGAAGAAGCTAAATCCAAAGCTCGCAATTCGCTTTTTAGAAGATTCGATTTATTACAATGCAAAGTAACGAATTTTAACATATTGTTACCTTGTAATCTACTATGGATTCCGAGAAGAGTTAATTTTATTCTCATTTTTCTTCTATTTGAAATTTTAATTTTTGTATATCATAATTTCCTTTAGATTTTATAATAAATTGTTTGTTATCGATAAAAGCCAACAACATCAAATAGAAAGAATACCTTTTTTATAACAAATAACGCATATGTCAACAAAAAAAATTCAAACAAATAATTTAATTTCTAATAATGTGAAGAGAGGCTCCAAGCCGAGGTCTTGGTCGTTTTTGTCCAAGAAGCTTCTTCAAATCTTCTGATATTGAAGTACCTCCAATATCTACTGAAGGTTTACGAATAGGCATTGAACGAGTCATAGCGGTATGAGAGCGCTCGGTTGGGTAGTTGATAGTCATTTCATTATTGAGACTTCTTGTTTCGAGCTTTGATTGTCCCCTTGTAAGTGTTTTCATAGTAATTTTATGTTTCATAGCAACTTTGACTTGATCCACATCTACTGGGCAAATAGGAAGTGTAGTTAAGATTTTCGTTTGCATTCCAGAATCTTCTAATGATTCTCCTTCTTGAACAATGAAATCCCATGAGCCTTTTGTAAGCTTTCCAACCGGGGTAGATTGTTTTTTAACTTTAAATGTTTGCTTCTTCCACTTTTTTTGTGGCCTTGGATGGTAAGCCCACTTAGGATCGCTGAATCTTAAATTTGAACGGCCACGTGTGATTCCATCCCTTGGTGGAAGCTCAATCCTGTCGCCAATGACGATAGTTGGGAGCTCCATCTGTAAAAAAATTACGTTTTTTTTATTTTTGATTACATATGGATTTGTAAATTAGCTATTATGATGGGGAAACAACCAAGCTTACTGATGTGTAATTAAGATGACTGATTTCCAGTAATAGATTTTAGGAAATTATTATTGAAGCATCAAAATCCAAATTTAATAGTAAACATATTTGTTTATGATAATAAAAGTACTAGAATATAAAAGAATAGGAACTGAAGGCAAGAATATCGCGATCAAAATCATATTGCTTCGTTTTCAACAAGGCCAAGATCAACATCTGGATCGTATTTGCCACTATCTTGCCTCTTCTTAAGAATTATTGCAACGATTGTTACAGTTATTATAATAATTGCGAAACTACCTAAGGCAATTGCCAAAGGAATTTTCTTATTTTCTCCACTTTCGTCTGGTGTTGGTGTTGGAGTTGGAGTTGTTGAATTTGTCGAAATTTCAGATGATGAAGATGAAGCTATTTCTTCGTCTTCGAAAACTTCTCCTTTCATTTCTTTTCTGAGGTCGGCTGCATCATATTTAATAGCAGATAGGAGCAAACATGCAAAAAATATCATGCTTCCAATGATTTTTTTATTTGATCCTTTGAATGGAAAAAATTGAATGGATAAATCACAATCTGTCAAATTATCTAATCCTAGTTTTGACATGCAATAATCAACACTTGCCACATAAACAAATGATCTTTAAATACTATAGCCAAAAATTTGTATGATTTTCTAGTGAATTACAAAGATATGATAGCTCAAAACGAGATAGATGTTTGGCTGGTCGACTGTCACTGTGTGATTACAGTATGCAATCAAAATGATCTCCAATTTCGCATTGGAATCTTTCAATTTGTTATTGAATTTTACAATTTGTATTCTATTATATGATTCACCTCGGATATAAACATTTTAATATCATATCAATGAATCAAACATTCTACGAAATGATATATACTATTTGTCTCAATTTGTTAAAATCATAAGGCAAAATATACATGATTCTTCATCAGCATCTATCTCTGTCCAATTATATTCAATTCACATCAGCATGTTCATTTACTATTACAATGAATGATTTCAATTGAATTTTAAACAGAAATTATTATGGCAAACATCACGGAATAATAAAAAAAATCAAAAAAATGGGTATGGCTCAAAACATCTGCCTTATAATGAGCTTTCCAGAATGCAAATTTTTCTTGTATTTTTTAAGGGTGCACCCGTATGTACGTTTATTTGAGAGGAGGAGGATTACCCTCTCAATTTTGAGGGATTCGTTAGTTTATTTTCTCGATGAATATGCAATAAAATTTGATTTTTACCTTATCAATATACTTCATATAATATACACATGTTCATGTAAAAACTTTTTTCCAAAATCCTCAGGAATTAAGGGATTTTTGAATTTTAAGAATTTTTTTCGAATTTTTTCGAAAAAAAAATATTTTCAGAACAGCCTTAACGGCTAAGATTTAGGAACAATGTTAAGTATCAAAAAGAAAGGAGGTCTGATATAGACAACATATATCGTTGAAGGTTGAAAAAATCTCTAATATTTGAGCCCAAAATTTCAAATTTTAATTTTTTGAAAAAAGAGGCCACCCGTATGTACGTTTATTTGAGAGGAGGAGGATTATATTTTTGAAAGGGTGAAACATTATGAATATGTTAATTATATAATAATATGTATTATTATAAAAAAGAAAAAATAAAGCACGTTAAAATTTTTCTTTCTTGATTTTTTACAAAATCTACTTAGAATTATGCAAAATATGACTAAATAATTATAAATTTCAAGTTAAATTTTAATTTTGATAAATAATTTAAATTTCAAAATATCAAGTTCAGTTCGACTATGTATGTAGTAATTCCTCAATAAAGTGCCAAAACCCTATTAAAATATATGAACATTTTCAACATTTTAATGTTTTTATTTAAAATTTGATGGAATATGAGCTTCAAACAATTATTATGTAATAAAAATAATTAAATATATGTATTTATTCGTATTACAACAGTAGTAAGTCGATTCTTCCTTTCTTCTACTGAGTTTTGAATTTGATTTCGAATTGTAAAGAGATTCAAAGGGAAAATACTAGCGGATAAAAACTACCTCCATGAAAGGGTCATAATGGACTCAAGTTGTATTTTTTGATATTTTTTGCTTTTCGAGCCTAAATAGGTAGCCAAGATAATGCCTAAAAATAAGGTTCTAAATTCTGAAGTTTACATGATCCTCTCGTGTGCACCCTTAAACATTTCGAAATTAGAACATAATTGTAAAACAGAACTGAGTCTTTAATGTGGAACAAAGAACAATGAATATCCTAATATATTATAAAAAATAAACAAAACTAATTAATAAAATATTGTAATAACTTTCGAACTTAAAGCTCTGATCTTGTATCTATTTTTTACCAATGAGATCAAGCTGCTTTTTTTCTTCCTCTGATAAACTATTAAATTTTGCCATACAATCGTCATCGTCAATGAATATATCATCATATTCTTTTTTGAAATTGTACATTCTTTTCACATCTGTTTCATTTTGAATCAGTTTATCGCAATTCGAGCTAATTGATTCAAATAAATTTAAAAGCTGTTGTAAGTCGGATTTTTTAATTCTTACTTGAGTCATTTGACCTAAATTTTTATTGTGTAAATATGCAGCATTTTCGAAAGTTAATGGAATTTGATTAGAATTCATTTTTTGTAAATTTTCGAGAATTGCATCACGAGTTGGATCAAGTTCGTTTCCCTCTACAGCTTCTTTTTCAATTTGATCCCTTACCTCTTTGGGTATAATAATACAACTCATGAATAAAAAAAATTGACTTTTTTTTTCTCATTGATCAAATTGATTTTGATTTGATTAGTTCTAAAGTGAGCAAAACGTCTAAAAATAAGATTATTCTTATCATTATTAAAAAAGTGTTCAGATTTTTTGATGAATATGAAATTGACTTTTGTACTAACTAAATCCGGTATTAATAGTACAGTATACATTGTGCGTCGCCTGTAGCCTACAGCTACAGGCACCGACACAATGAAAAAAGTGACAGAAAACTGACACCATACGGGCGCGCATATGTACGCATATATGTGTAAAAATAAACGTTCATATGTAAACTAACCTTTATTCACTAGCAGGGGCTGATAAATCATAATCGTCGAGAAGTACGATAGGTGGTCCCACAGGTTTAATCTGTATGGAGAGGCAAACGTGACGTAAGAAGCATAACACTGGTTTCTCAGTATATTTAATAGACTCTGCTGTTGGCTTAACTGTAAGCTTATATGTAATAGGTGAATTAGATAACTGACCCTGTTGGAATGTATAATCAGTTTCGCAAGGGAATCCACATAGGTAATGACCTAAGTCATTTGACTCGATTCCAAATTGAGGGACTGATGTGGTTGTGATAGACCTCATGACATCATAGTTGAAGCCAACAGTATCGTTATTATTGTTAGTGGCATTTGCCTGCATCTCATAGAAGATTGGATCATTAGATGCTTGAGCCTCAGCGGGTATGTTACCATATGCTCCACAGTTCAATTGAATTTGTTCAAACAATGGATTTTCATAGGTAGTGTTATAATTAGGTGTTTTCTTAAATAGTGTATAAATGGTGTTCACATATAATGGAGTAAATGCTGCCGTGAATGTACAAGGAGTTCCTTCACCTTTAGCCATTGAACCATCCATAGTAATGCAGTCAATTCTTTTGATTGGGAAGTTTAGAGTCTTTGCCGAATATCTTGTCACCAAATCACTATAGATGTTAGGGTCCAAAGAGAATGAGTTACAGTATGTAATCATTTCAAAGAAGTTTGCATTCTTCTTAGTGAACTTAATAAACTTGGTACCAAATGATATCGTACTCTTATCGGCATTCCAAGTTACAGTATCAATAACTTTGATACCTTCATAGATAGGAGTGAAGTGATTAGTGATTGGAATATAGCTTGTAACATTGGCTTGCATGTTCGGTAATGGTAGAATATCCTGATAACTTAATGGTGTCCAAACCATACCAGCAATACTGAACTTAACCTTAAGTTGTAAGTTACCAGCAAACGCTGGAAGGAATCTAATGTTATTAAGTATTAGGAATCTTCTTAGGTCAATCTTGATTGGTATGTGGAACTTTAATGTAGTTGCACCACTAATTGGTTTATTGAACTCAATAATCTGTCCAGAACGAACTGTATCACATCTATTGAAAACATCTTTATGTCTAGCCTTACTAAATACATCAACTTTCTTAATAGCTTCTGTTGTAGATGCAGTAGAAGTAATGTAACCTTCTTCTCTAGCATTATCTTGTGTATAAACACTTTTACCATTAGCGATTAATTGATATGATTCAACAGCATAGAATGAATCAATGTATCCCAACCAAATTGCTGGAAGATGTGCACATGATTTGCCACCAGCATATTTAGTATCAATTGCTTTAATTGCTGTAACATTTGATCCTGTAGGAGCTGTCTCAACAGCTCTTTCTTTATATACTTCACCATCATATTTAGGAACTTTTTCATCAGCTGGTTCAGTTTCTGTTGTAATTATGCACTCACCATCGACATAACCACTAATGAACGTATTATATAAGTCAATCATGTTCTCACCAGGTGGTGATATGTTAAATGTAATATAACCGTTATCAATAGTATTTGTCGGCATAGCTGGCACTTTTGTTGGGACATATCTATGGTTAGTATCTCCAATAGGAACTGCCCCATCAACTTGATCGAAATAATATCTTACTTGTCTGATGGAATCAGCAATACTGTATGTATTGAGGTTATCGTTCAACATCTTTCTCAGCTATAAAAAATTTACAATCTTCTTATTCTTGGGATTATTCGTCTTATTTGTGGCTGAGGTTTAGGAGGTTCTGGTTCAGGCTCTGGTTCATCATCGAAGTGTATTCTTTTCTCTTCCATTGATTGAACATATTCTTGATTCTCTTTAGTTTCCTTCTCACGTTCAATTGGGTCCATGTTTGGTTCATTAACTACACTGTTACGTTCTAATATCTTTGTCATCATCTCTAACAACATTTTATTAGTATATGCTTGTTCTTCTTCTTTCTTCTCATCAACTTTAGGAGCTTCTTGAACAACAGGAGCTGGGGCAGGAGCTGGTGAATTCAATGGTGCCTTTCTCTTTCTAACTTGAACTGAACCATTCTTCATATGACAAACATAATATAATGGATGTTGTATTCCTTTAGCTTCATTCAATATGATTGATTGCTTTTCACTTGGTGAAAGTTTTGACGTCATTTCTATCCTAATAAAATTTTTTACTCCTAACAAAATGACTGAGAATACTTTCGACAGAGAAGCACTCAAGAATGAACTTCGTGAAGAAATACTTAATGAACTCAAACCAAAAGAACAAACACAAGAAGAGAAACCAGCTAAACCAAAGCGTAAACTCACAGAGAAACAATTAGCTGCATTAGCAGCTGGACGCGCAAAGAATCCACGAATGATTGCAAAGAAATTGAGAGAAGAGGAAGAAGCTAAGAAAAATAATAAGTAAGTGTTTAGAACTTTAACTTACGTTCAAAAGATGACTTCGTTGAAATAGTGAAGTCCTTATTTTTGTTGAAGCATGGTTTCGAACCAATGCACAAGTCAAAGGTTATCTCATCACCTTCATAAAGAGATTTGTACAATTCCACGATGCTATATTTTTCCCCAACTTTCTCAGGGAAGAACAAACCTTTCTTCTCGTCATAATGTACTTGTATCGCATCTGGGAACATTTGGTTTGCAGTAAGTGCAATTACGTCCTGTGTGATTCCCTTCATTCGACAGTGGAAAGCAATTTCCTTGAGGTCATTGGTTAATTCGTCGAGGTAAGTCTTCTTTCCAACGAATATAGATCTTTGTGCCTTAGACATATGTCCTGCAGTAATCTCTGCAAAGTCTGAATGAAATTGACCCAGTGCTTTTCCAATGAGTTCTCTGTTATACCTTCTCTTGTATTCTTCTGCTAACTTATCTAAGTCCTTCTCATACAAGTGTAAACTATCTGTATCCTGATAGAACAACTTCAAGCCCAAATCTTCTGCTGTGAAGAATACTTCATTCATGATTCGTTTGGACATAGAAAGGATTGAAACACCTAATGGACAATAGTTAAAGTGACGAACGATAGGTTTAAATGACTTTACACATGAAAGTTCGGAATCGGGGATGAACTCTATTGTCTGTATGTCATTATAGTTCTTAATGATATAGTCAGTGAGCTTATTGTCCTTGATGAAACGAATCTTTTTGTCAATGGGCTTTAATATCGTCTTACCATAGATACTGTTCAAAAGAAGTTTGATGATCTCTTGTATCGGATTACCTTCCTTCTTATACTTAGCACGTAATTCGAAGAGCTTCTTAACTTCATTCCTTATTGTCATGTCCCTTTTTCCATCATAATAGTATCCATCAATGACTTTGCATGAGATCTCTTGGAACTTGATCAGATCTTGAAGCGTAATGTGGTCTACGAACATCTTGCAGCATGTATTGGAACTTCTGGCAACATGTAAGTCAGGGTTGATGTCAGGATTGACGACAATCAATGGGAATGCTGAGTTCTTACCGATCGACAAGATCTCGATCTGACAGTAAAATCCTGAGATGAACTTTTCCTTTGTTGGTTCAGCTTGGTCATCATCAAAGAGATGCTCCAACAAGTATTCACTGCTCTTCATCTCTTCTGTCATAACTTTTGGAATTCCTTCTAAACAGTAAAGTCTAGCAATTGCTGATGGATACAATGATACAGCATCGAAGTCAGTGATGAGTTCTCCTTCATTGTATTGCTTCTTGTTCTCAGCTAGCATGCATCTTCCTCCTTGAATACACTTGGAAATATATTCACGAGGTTTTCCTGCAAGATCAAAGAGATTACCGTTCTTCCAATATACTCTCTTCTCAAAGAGTTTGTTTGAGATAGAACTTATTGAAACATAATCATAAGCATCTATTTCAAACTCAGTCATGAGGTCATTGCGGAACTTAAGAAAGCCATCTCGTAAAATGCGTACATCTTGACCGCAATAGAATGACGAATAAACTTCCATGTCAAAGTGTTCATCATCAATCTTGCAATCTTCAATCTTCTCAATGTTCTCATTAAAAGCTTCAATATCTTTGACATGATTCATGGCATCATCGATGTTACCAACTTTAGTTGTATTAACTAACTCTTCCGTGTAGTAATTATATGGGAAAACTTCTTTTTCACCACTAGTGAGGTGAAACATTTCAGGGAATCTTTCCAACTTAGTTGAGATGATTGCATAAGAGTCTTTGAAGCAGAGAAGTTTTCCTTTGTACTTTCCTTGTATCTGCATCGTTTGTGAACCTTTGATGATTGGAGTTCCTGTAATCTCTTCTAACTGAGACATGAGAAAAGTGACATCGTACGATAAGTTGTGGAAATAAACTAAACTCTTATCTGGTAAAGCTTCGAGGAATTTTGACGCACAGTCACTTCCCCAAATTGATGTATAACCATCATCGTCATCTTCCATGAAACAAATGTTGTATGCTTTGTGAATGTTTCCATCAGTTGATGCTTCGAAGTCAGCAAAGAAAACATGTTCTCTTGGGAACTTCATGTCTTTCTTCGTCTCTGAACTCCAATCTTTCTTCATCCTTGCGCAATAACGCTCATTGTATGTGAGGTCAATCATTTCTTCAAGGTTCTCATTATACATCGTTGTGAAGTATGTGCAAAGTTCTCCTGTTCTAATTGGTTCGAAATAATTGTTAGCAAACAAGAGTTCAATGACTTTTGCAAGTGGTGTAACTAACTTTGAGTTAATTGCATACCTTGTTTCATATCTTCTGTTAACTAACATCTTCTTCTCTAAAGTCCAATCCTTGCACAACTTACAAACATCTTCATAGTTCTTGATGAACATTGAACTTATTGGAAGCTTTTCGTTCAACATGTAGTGGTCATACATTAATAAAAGTTCTACTGTCATCTTTGGTTCTTCATCTGGTTCATAAGTATATGAATGATTTGAATACTTCTCGTTGTATTTGATGACATGGAACCTTATTCCTGTTTCTTTGGCAATAACCTTAATCTTTGACATTGGAAAATCTTTGACACGAATGATTTCCCTCATATGATTAATTGTTGCTTCGTCAACACCAGCTTGAATACAAGCGTAGATGAAACATGAATCTTTCATCATCTTCTTTGCTGTCTCTGCATTAAGTTCGTTGAAGATCTGATACCTCTCTAAGTTAATAGGTAATTTGCATGTCCATGTCCAAAGCTGACCATTACGTGACCTGTTTCTCTTCTTTGAATGGTTTTGTTTGATGATCTTGAGTGCGATCTTTTCTTGACCTGCTGCTCTCATCGTATCTAACATAACTTGTTCTTCAGCTGTGAGTTTATATGGTGTGTACGTTCCTTTTCTCAAAGCAGAAGCATCAACATCTGAATAAGCTGTATAGTCAAAGATCTCGATCTTCCTTAACGAAGGAATACTACAAAGGAAGAAGTCATAGTTTGATTCAAGGACTTTAGATGCTAATTCTTGTACTTCTGCTATTGGAGCTTCATTAAGTAACTGATGAACTAATGATCCCATTGTATTGATGTTCAAATGACGCAAAATGTTTCTCTTCTCATCAAAGTCGTAATAGAATGTCCACTTCTGTTTGAAAAGGTCTATCTGTCCAATGAACTTTGCCATAACTCTTGGAAACATCTTGTTGAAGTAATCTTTTCCTCTTGGACTGTATTGGTCAATGTTAAACATAATGAATCTTTCTCCTGCTTTAGTTATTGGGTCTAACCATTTCTCATCAGGAAGTTTTTGACCATTAATGTTCTTAACAACGTAAAAGGCATTCTGTATTTCTTTGTATGCTAATTCGCTCTCATCAATCTTTGGTGGAGGGTCTGAGTATATTGGTTGCATCTCCATTAACGCTCTATTATGAGATCTCTGATCGTGATCTAAAGCAACTGGGGAATTTGAAGCTGGAACATTCATGATACCATTGTAGTCATCATAGAAGCTCTTAGCATTCTTGAAAATATCTGCTACACTTCCTGTACCTCCTTGATTCTTAATTGCCAGAGCTAATTTATTGGTAATGTCTTTAGCTTTCTTAGGCATTTTGATCCCAAACATATCAAGCATACCTTTCTTATCTTCTGGTGAAAGGTTATTAACTAATCCTTTTATAGCATTGAGCATGTTGGTCTTTTATAACCGATAAAAAAATATACGTTATTTTTTTTTAATCGTCATCGTAATCATAATCGTACGAAGATTCTGTATCATCATCACTGACATCATTGGTTTCTCTAACTTCTGGCTTATCTGGTTTAATCTCTATCACCATAAACATTGGTGACAATAATCGAACAGGCTGATCTTGGAAGTCAACTAAGGTAAACGTAACATTAGTTAGTTCCCATGGAAATGCATCTATCCATGGTGAGGATTCCTTACATATAAGTGGTTTACCAGATATCCAGAACTCATTGATGTTATAACATGTAGATCTGTACATGATCTTTCTTCGATCATCAACTTGGTCAATATTATTGAACCCAGAGATGACAGACATTGATGAACGAAGGTATAACTGATACCCGAAGTTGAGCATAGGTGGTTTTGGCATTTGTAGATAATAATTATGTACAATAGGTAGTTCTATTCCATATGCACCTAAAATAAGATTTGCTCTATGTGAAGCATCTTTTAAATAGACTTTATGTCCTTTGTCCTGTGACGTAAATATAAGTTGATTCGTAGCACTCAGTGAAACTGTTACATTATGTTGACCTTTTTTCTTGTTATAATAATCAAACTGTTTTGTTACAATCTCTTGTAGTTTTGATACAATAGTATCCATATCAAATGAAAGAGCTGACTTAAATGTACACACCTTTTCTTCTCCATCTTCGTCTAACTGTAAGACAAAATAATCTGTTTCGTCACAAACAATAAAGTTCGCCATAGTACTGACACTTTTTACTCTCATCTTTATCTTACTTGGATGCCCCATGTTAGGATCTGCTTGAAACTGTATTGTCCCGTAGTTATTAGGATCAGTCGATTGTAGATAATACATCATTTTTATATGTAGTAAAAGAATGAGTGTTGTTCCATATGCATATGAATGTTATAAGTCTAGCGTACTTCAATATAAAGAATATACTCTCAGAATTACTGATAATGCTTTAGTCATACATAAAGAAGGTGCTGATGAAGACATTACCATCGGTCCTGGTATATTACCTATCGAGCAACCAGATGGTACAATTGTTGAAACAGACTTAAATCAATACCTTCAAGCGTTACAGAATCGTGTGACAAAAGTAGAGAATAATTACTTAGATGCTCCATTCTTCACAACTGATAGAGATTATATGTTTTCATGTATGGCGAGTAATGGTTTGCAAGAAACTCGTGAGGTAAATATTAATGAAGCATTAGAGACTATAATATATCATGTTAAACGGTTATTATCGATTGACCATGGAGTTCATTTTGACCCAAGGTCTACACTGTTCAATATACCAATGATTGAAAACAGTCAATTAACATTTAAAGAAGATACATTGTATAATGCTTTAAACGCAGCATTTGCTTATATATTAGGTCATGAACAAGTACAAAATAGTGGTATTGCAATATACTTAGATAAAGTTATGTTAAAGAAACCATTGACATTCACAGAAGATGGTCCAAAAGCAACTGGTATTGTTGGTGATGGAACATTATTGACGAAAGAATACTTAGCAAGTCATGTCGGAGAATTTTTCTCCACTAATGATAGCATCAGTACAACACCAGAAGTTATTTTATTGAAGAAACCAATCACATTTGATGTTAAAGGAAAGACAAAAGCAACTGGTATAGCTGGCGATGGAGTTCTTCTGACTAAGGAATACTTGAAGAAAAATATCAATGACTTCGTTGAAATTGTCAAAGATAAAGAATCTGGTCTTAAGTTCAACCCTTTATCATTCATCTTTGCCATAGCAAACGCCGGTGCTACTGCAGCCTCATGGATATCACTCCAGAGTCAAATAAATGCTCTTTGGGCTTTTGTTGAAAGTCAAGAAGGTATAGATACTGTTCTTGACACTCTGGGTAATCTTGGTCCAAATCATAAAGGAGGTTTTGTGGATGGAATAAAAAATTTAGTTGAAAAGACTAAAACAAGTTTCCAGAAGATAACTCATATAGAAAGATTCAGAAATGAAGGTTATATGGAACTTGAGAGTTTTGATGTGACTGGACCTTTGGAACCAATTCCAATGCACGTGATGCTAATGATGAAGAAGAGAAAGATCCTGGACCAAAAACAATCATTTCTACGTTAAGTACTTTGTACCCTGATTTTGTGACCTTAGTGAAAGTTGCTAATACATCAAGAAAGAACAATAATATTAATATGTCTGGTACTGATGACCTTACTGATTATCTTTATCTCATTCTTGCTGAATTAGCGAAGAAAGTTGAGGAGAACAAAAATAATGGAGGAAGAACTGCACTTAAGATTGCAGACAAAGCTGACAAAAGTTATGTTGACGAAGAGATACGTAAAGTTGCATCTAAAGAATATACTTTATCACAGTCTGTCATACTTAAGACAATCAAAGGTCCAGAGAAAGATATGTACCCAGGTGATGGTACAACAGTTAAAGTTAATGAAAGAGTTTCATTCCCATCTGGTATTGATGCAAAAGAAGTATATATTAATGGTGAAAACATCAATACAACATTGATTCCTTTGAAAAATAATGAGTTCACTGAACCTTTGACAGTTAAATCAATTCGTTCAAGAGAAGACAAACCTGTTATAATCAATAAAATAGGAGCTGATAATGACCAACCAGTTCAAATCAAGAAAATAAGAGCTGATGACATTATCTTGAACTATACTTTAGGCTCAAGTGCTCCACAAGAAGATCCTCATATGAGTTTAACAGAGACCTTGCAAAATTTGAATGGTACTGCATATAATATGTCTATGAGTTATAACAACTTTAAAGCACATGAGTTACCAGTTCTGTTAGACAACAAAGCAGACAAAACTTATGTTAATGAACAGATCTCAAAGATCTCTAATGCATCTGTAAACAATGGAATACCTGAAAGCATTACAGTTAGCTTTGGTAATAATGATATGGGTAAAGTTGCAATATTTATAAATTATAACATTGGTCCATCAGAAAAAGGTCCAAGTTACTATACATTGAGTCATGGTAAATCTATTGAACTTGTGTTCCACAAAAAAGATGGAACAAACTTAACTATTCATCCTGGAGATACGTTTGAGTTTTATTTGAACGATGTCACCACAGTAGATTATACTTATAGACCTTCTAACATGTTTGACATGATGTATCCAATTGGTTCTATATTTACATCAATGAGCTCAACAAGCCCGCAAACCCTTTATGGAGGTGTTTGGCAACCGATTGTTGATCAGTTTCTTTACTGTTCTAACTCATCAATGGACTTTGGTGGTTCAAAGACTATCAGAGTTGAAAACCTTCCACCACACTCCCATAGGTTCAGTGCAACAACATCTACTAATGGAGAGCATTCACATTCAATGACAAAAAGAGGTTATACAAATCTTGCAGCAGGTTCTGATAGACAAGGTATGAATAGATATGATATCACAGATGACCCTAGAGATGTTAGTACAGGTATTTTCTGCGGATCTGCAGGAAACCATACTCACACAGTAGCTGGAATCACAGATGCAACAGGAAAAGGTCAAGACTTCTTACCACCATTTATGACTGTATTCGCTTGGTTCAGAGCTGCTTAACTCAAGATCACGATCACAAACTGTTTCTCAGTATGAATGAGTAGCTCTATTTTTACATCATTACTGAAGTATTTCTTTTCTTCATCAATGACAGAAAGAATGTTTTCATCATTTTAAAGATCTTACCAAAGTTAGATCTTCATCAGAAAATCTCAAAGAAAGACTCATTTATGCACTAATAAAAATATAGCTAATTATTTTTTTATCTGAACTTTTTATCGGGTATATAAAGATGTCTGAACATCATTTGAAGTTCTTTAAGATCCAACAGTTTGTAGATGAAGTGAAGAAGCAAAATAAAACAGCAAAGAGACTACTTATATGCTTACCACAAACATTACGTCAAGGAAAGTATGGTTATAGTGCAAGTCCGATCATGATCTTTGTCGATAAGCAGAAATACACAAATGAAGGTTTAGCTAATTTACTCAAGTTTGAAAAGATAGCTATAAACATTCCTGACCATTTCTCAGCGAGAATAAACCTTGACAAGACTAAAAGTTATTGTTTATATGTAGATCTCACGAAATCAACAAAGAGTAAAGACAAAGAATATAACCCAGTTGAACTTAAGACAATGGGTAAGAACTTACTCAAAGCTGCTATCAAACCTGTCGAAGAGATCGACATTGAGGATGAAGCAGAAGAAATAGATGTAGATCCTGAAGTGTTATAAACGATAAAGTTTATTTTTGGAGGAAGATGGTGTCAGACCATTTGATCTGGCATGCTTGTTCTAGGTAATTGCAGAAACCTGGAAAGATTGTTATTGGTCTGAGTTTCATACCTGGTCTCTCATCTCTCCATTGAAGCAAGTAAATTTACATGAAGAGTTCGTCTGGATTCTCAGGCTTTGGTACACACTGATCGAAGATCTGTATGACCTCTTCATGACCGTACTCCCTCTGGTCAGACATGAGTGTTCTGAAGAACTTTTGCATCTTCGGACCAGGTTTAGCATCTATGCAACGAGTGGGTCTCATTGACATTTTTGTCACTTTTATTTGGTCGAATGGAAGGATTCGAGTTCATGCCACTTGACAGCAAAGAAGGTGCAGAAGAGGTTGTTGTTGCTGCATTCTATGCGAGCTCACACGTTGACGCATTCCGAACTTACCAGGATGACCTCGAAAAAGAAGGTCGAAAGCTTGGAAAGATCCAAATGTTGCTTGAGTTCTTCCGTGGAAACCTTGCACAGAAGTATGAGAAGAAAGAATAAACAACTAATTATTACTGAGCTTAGCTCATAAATGTAAGTTTTTACTCTGATCAGATCTTAGATCTCGTCGGGACAAGCGGAAAGGATAAAGTCCATGAGCTGGACTTTTGTCTTAGTGAGCGGTACTGCGGTCATGAGTAGTTCGCGCTTGTTTGAGCCACTTGGAACGCGACCCTTCCAATTCCTCATAGATCTCAAGGCAGAGATCGTGAAGAACTCAAGGACAAAGAGTCTTTGAGACTTGGTAAGGAATCCCTCATCATCTCTTTCATCCTGGAGGGTCTTTGTGGATGCAGTGGACTTGATCTCGTCTTCCTCGATCGGATCATTCTCATAATCTTCATCACCCTTCTTCCTAAACGTCATCTGCTCTCTCTTGTAGTCGTTCCTGAGAGCATTGAGTCCAGCTTCAAGATCTTGTGAGTTCTTTGCAGGTTTATTGAAAGTTTTCTTTTCCTGCATTTGCTGTATAAGCTGGGTTTGCTGTTGCATCATCTGCATCATCATTGCCATCATATCTAGTGTTGGTGATGCTGGAGCTGGTGTTGTACCATCTTGGGACATTCGGTCGTCGGTTATGTCTTTACAAAAGACTGCTTTACAAAAGACAGCTTTACAAAAGACAGCTTTACAAAAGACAGCTTTACAAAAGACAGCTTTACAAAAGACTGCTTTACAAAAGACAGCTTTACAAAAGACAGCTTTACAAAAGACAGCTTTACAAAAGACTGCTTTACAAAAGACAGCTTTACAAAAGACAGCTTTACAAAAGACAGCTTTACAAAAGACTGCTTTACAAAAGACAGCTTTACAAAAGACGTCTTGACAAAAGACAGCTTTACAAAAGACTGCTTTACAAAAGCATTTTCTCACAAAATTGAATACTTTTGCTTTACAAAAGACGTCTTGACAAAAGATTGCTTTACAAAAGTCTGCTTTACAAAAGACGTCTTGACAAAAGATTGCTTTACAAAAGTCTGCTTTACAAAAGACTGCTTTACAAAAGACAGCTTTACAAAAGACAGCTTTACAAAAGACAGCTTTACAAAAGACAGCTTTACAAAAGACTGCTTTACAAAAGACAGCTTTACAAAAGACAGCTTTACAAAAGACTGCTTTACAAAAGACAGCTTTACAAAAGACAGCTTTACAAAAGACAGCTTTACAAAAGACTGCTTTACAAAAGACAGCTTTACAAAAGACGTCTTGACAAAAGACAGCTTTACAAAAGACTGCTTTACAAAAGCATTTTCTCACAAAATTGAATACTTTTGCTTTACAAAAGACGTCTTGACAAAAGATTGCTTTACAAAAGTCTGCTTTACAAAAGACGTCTTGACAAAAGATTGCTTTACAAAAGTCTGCTTTACAAAAGTCTGCTTTACAAAAGACAGCTTTACAAAAGATTGCTTTACAAAAGCCATGACTGATCTTCATCCAATTTGTTTAATCGAACTTAATGAAGTAATTTCTGCATATCTCCTGCATGTATTTGGAAACGAGAGGATAAGACAACTCACCAAGGTTTCCAGACGCCAGATCCAAAGACTTGAATCAACTGCAGGAGTAATCCTAAGCTTTGAAGAAGGATTAACCAATAAGAAAGATGTCATTGACTCCAAGCGTGAAAGCCTTGCTGCTTTCTTACGCAAACACCCATGGGTCGATGTTGATCTCCAAACTCCTTACCAAGGACTCGTTGAAACCTTCACGACCTACAGACAGCTCCTTGACAGACCTGAGCAGAACCTTCTGGTCGAACGTGATGGCACATTAAGCCCTACAGACGAGTCAATCCAGAGAGAAGAAGCTCAAGAGTAAAAATCTGACATTTATACTTTACATGACATTTTTTTCATGAGTGTTCACGTTAAGATCAATGATGAAAACATGACTTCATGGGAAGATATCATTGATGACATAGAGAATGACCTTGATGAAAACATGATGGGAGCTCAAACGTCAGTTAAGGTCAAACTTGGTGAAGTTCAAGAAAAGATCTCCGAGATCAATGCAAAAATATCTGCTCTTACAGAGGTTGACGTTTATTACAGAAGCTTGGAGAGAACTTTAAGCAAACTTGAACGTCAGAACCAAAGTCTCATAGTTGTGCTCCAGAAACTCAGTCTCATGCGTAAAGCATATAATGACTACCTACATGTAAGAGACTTACCTTCTTATTCTACTCCAGATCTCGACTTTTCCGATATAAGTCCAATCCTTATTGATACAACACTTACGATAGCAGGGATGCTTCCTACATATCCAGAATATGATAACTTACCTCAGCTCTTCGAGTATCTCAAGAAAAAGTTCATGATCTTATTATGCGAGACCATGAAAAGACGTCAAAATACCAGAACAGAACGAGAACAGAGCTTACTAATAGACTTATTATATAATACTAAAGAAATAAAGGAGTTTTTATTCTAACTTTGGTATTTTTGGGAAGAACTGATCTGGATCATATTTGTCAACCACAGGTTTTGGTATCAAAAGTCTCTCTGGTTCTTGGACGGCTGGTACTGGAAATGGTTCCTTTGGTTTCCTAGCTTTTGGGAGATCTAAAAATTTTCTTGGTCTCTTTCTTTTGTGTAAGTGTTGTCCATTTTTATCGACAACGAATGTGAGCTTTCCGTCGTCAAAGATGAATGTCGTCGCTTCTTCAGTTCCCTCATCAACTATTATCTTCTTGATCTTTCTCTTCTCCATTAACAGAAAAAGTGACATATATTACTTCATTATTTTTCTGAGTGTTAGGATTAATTAAACCTCTATCTATAACATGCTTTCTCATAGAAATTTCTCTCCATATCTTTTTGTCAATATCTCTAAAGTTCTTCTGTATAAGATTTATCACTACTGAAGTAAATAGATGGATAATTAAGGACATCAAAGGTTTCTACAGTATCTTTAAGAGTCCATTCATCTCCATACTGTATAGAATAAGTATGGAAGTATGGAGGATCACATATAAAGAAAACATTGGGAAGATCTTTATACTCATTGAAGAGTATTCTCCAATCTTTATGAACAATAGTTAAACCTTCAAGATAGTCATCTATGTTTTCACCAAATAAGTTAGTATATCTGAGGTATAACACTTTCTTCATTAATGTGTCAAGATCATAGTATTTGTATGCTCCAGAATAGAGAAGACGTGAACATAATGTATCCCAGTCTATGTATGGAGCTTTACTTATAACTTCTCTGACGATCTCTTTCTGATCAGTAGGAATTTTCTCATCTGGCTTAACATTTATTCTCTCCTTAAGTTCCTTAAGTATTTCATTCGTGTCATGAATGTGTTTCAGTCTATCAACGTAGTTATCATAGTCGTTAGCTATGATCGTTGCTTTTGGGAACATAATATGCAACAGATGAGAGATATAGAGAGAACCACCAAAGAGGTCAACGAAGACATAATCCCCTTTGATGTCTTTGAGTATGTCGATAAGATCTTTCCTGATCTTCGACTTATTACCTATGAAAGGTAAAGGAGGTTTGGTAAAAATCATTTATATGGTAATAAAAATAAGTGTTTACTTGAGACAATAACCTCTGTTGAGTTTGTAGAACAAGATCAGAAGTACGATCAAGTTCAAAACAACACAAATGGCTAGGATTGCGTTACCAACAATCTTTGTCTTTTCCCAGCAAGACTTCTTCTTTGGTTCATGTGCTGCTTCGACATCACTGTATGGCTCGGACATTAACTTAAAAAGTGTCATGACCACTTCATTTTTGATGAAGTCAACAGCTTATGTCCACTTCCTCCCACAAGCACTTGAGGAACAAGAGAAGGTCATCATTGACTACCTTCAAGCCACTGAGAAGCTCCAAAAGCTTCAAGATCTCCGCGAAGAGTTCAAGTCCCGCTTGAAACAGGAGAACTTACTGCAGGAGTACATGCTCATTTTGTACCCATTACTAGATGGCTCCCATTTACCATCAGAGTACACTGCAGCTCTTGATGCACTCAAAGATCTTCGCGATCACCATCCGATCGGTAAAGAAGCCTTCGAGCTCACCATTGAGCAAGCCATCCTCGCCAAGGACAATGCAAAGAAGCGGATGCTCGAAGCTCTTGATAAGATCAAGGAGTACGTCGAAACGTTCTAAAATAATTACTTGAGTAAACAATAAGTTTTATTGAGTAAGTCTTGAAACATTTGTGCTTTTGTTCTTGTTTGAACAACCATATTTAACATTAGATAAAAAATTTTTTGGTTAAACAATAACATACTTAAGACATAAATTATACCTACTTATAACTCAGTAATATTGTGCATTATATGCATACTTAAACTCTTGAGCAATATTGTTCTCATCAATGATTCTGATCTGAGCTATTTTTGAGAAAGGTGGTGGAATACCACAACATGTGATGTCTGGGTCCAGTAGGTCTATTTCACACTTGAACCCAGTCATTCTGTGAACAACTTCTTCCAAGTCTGGCTTAGGTAGTAAGATCTGATCTTTGCTCACTAAGTTAGAAAAGAGCTCTTTGTCTTGGTCTAGAAGTATCTTCTGGTATATACTAAGTAAATACTCTTCTACACCAATCCTCGATGAAGTCTCCACAGATCTCGATGAGGTCAGGTTGGAAGTTAATGGACTTAAAGGAGGAGGATACATTGGTGCTTCTGAGTTCGTAGTTGTTTCCTCTTTTTTTATCTCTGTTGGAGCATCACTTACTGTACCAGATGGATAGTTCTTTCCACAATGTTATTAGTTGTTCTTGAATCAACATTGCTTGTTGGTTCAATTGGAAGATTAGCTGCACCATAAAGAATTGACTTCGATCTCATTTGTTATGAGTAAAAATTGTTTTATTCTCATATAAATGACGAACATTAACCCAGAGAACAAACAGAATATACTGCAACAGGAGTTGTTTACAATGATCTAGATCAGATCGTCCAACTCAAAGCCCAAGAGGAAGGAATTTAATAAGACAACCTCCACCAAAGATATATGTTGATGATGGTAGTAATGGGTTCAACTTAGTGTATCATTACTCATATCCTCAATATGCAAAAATTGGGTCTACCCCAAACGTGACAAACCATTATATGAACCTTTATGATGAAGCAAGGTTTCATGCACCAACGAAGAAAGAACCTGATGCATCAAGATTACATGAATTCGCAGACCATGATGGTTATAGCGATTACTCAATGCCTGTAAGACTTTAACGTTAATAAAAAAATGACTGTTGGTAAACAAGAAAAAACTTTAATACAAGAGGATTTGATGCTACCAATATATTCAACTGATATGGGAGCTTATCAATTCGATACATTTGAGAATCCTGGTGGAACACCACCATATTTTCTTTTGTTCATCAATGTAAACAGTAGAAAAGGTTATGCGTTCCCAATGAGTGAAAAGAACTCAAACAATGTTCTAAGTGCAATGCAGAAGTTCATTTCACAAGCTACAGGTGAAATGAAGCCTACAATACTTACTAGTGATGAAGACCCAGCTTATACGACACAAAATGTTCGAGATCTGTTGGTCAGTCATAACATTGAGCACATGACGACACAGAAATACAATCATAACATACTAGGTATTATTAATAGGTTCTGTAGAACTATTAGAACTATGTTACATATGAAGTTAAACCTCAAAGAAGGTGATAAAACACCACCTTTCACTGCAGATACAATGAGACAAATTATTAATGACTACAACACTGAATATCATTCAAGCACACAACAAAAGCCTGATGATTTCACAGAAAAGGATAATGAGGAATATATAAAGAAGCAAAGATTGAAAGAAGAGTATGTCAGAAAAAATAACCTTTATAACTTAAGACCTGGTCAAAAAGTTCAAGTCATAGTTGAACCAAGAACATGGGGTAAAGGTAACCAACAAAGAAGACATCTTGATCCTTCTTATTATACAGTTGATTCAGTTGATACAAGTGCATACTTGTTAAGAGCAAAAGATGGAAGTGTTGCAAGATATCCACGTTATCAGATATGGACAAAAATAGAGCATGGATTAAAGCAAGGAGAAACTTTAGATCAAGGAAGACACGGTGCTGTTAAAAGTATTGATGGTCATGAACTTGTCGGTAATGATGTAAAGTATGATGTTACGTTTGAGAACGAAAATACAGGAAAAGTGACAGGTAGAGGTATGCGTGAAGGTAATCCAAACAGGTTGTCACAAATGGAAGTACAGTATTGGAGGAAAAATATTAATGAAGGTCATGTTAAAGATATGCCTAGTTTTCTTGAGAAGTATCGTGGGTTTCGAGTTTAGCTTGTAAGTCCTTTATTTTTGTTTCATACAATGAGATCTTCCTTCTGATCTGTTCATCATTGAGAGGTTGCTTGACTTTACGGAACTGTACACGTCCGTCTTTCATTGTATGTACATAATATCCATCAGGAACCTTACCATCTTTTATATATTCAGTTAACCACTTTTGTTTAGTTGATGCTTTAATGACTTGACTCATTTCTTACTGGATAAATTTTTATGTTTTTTATCTTTTGACGATTTTTTCTTATCCTTATCTTTCTTCTTGTCCTTGTCCTTCTTTGATTTATCCTTCTTCTTGTCCTTGTCCTTCTTGGACTTCTCTGCTGCAGGTGGTGTTGGATTCTGTTTGACTTTAGCACTTGGGTCAGGACCTTGTCTTTGAGACTTAGATATAGATTGTTTAGGAGCTGCTGCTTGTTTAGTTGCTTCAGCTTGTTGTTTAGCTAATTCAGCAGCTTGTTTATCATTCTCTTCTATTTCCTTTGCACCAGTTGCGACTTCATTCTTGAACTTTTGGAGATTCTCAGCAGCATCCATTACCTTATTCGCTCCTTTAAACAATCCATAAAATTTCTGCCATGGTGATACTGAAGGTATATTTCCACCAATTGCTGGAGGAACTGATGCTTCAGGAGTTGGAGATGGTGTTTTGTCTGAATTGAGATGCTTTTCTGCTTCAAGAACTTGTGTAGTATTTTTCTCCAGGTATGCTTTTGCAACCTCCTTAACTTCTGGACGTTCATTATTTACATCCTGTCTTGGTGTTGATGTTTCAGTAGCGTTTTCCTGAGTTACATTAACAACAGGTTGCTCAACTGCTGAAACATTAGCTGCTTCAGTAATGTTATGAGTAGTTGAAACATTTCCTGATATACCTTCTCCTGTTGGAACTCTTGGAGCAATTGTTGTGATGTTCGCCATTGCAGGAGTTGGAGTAGGAGTGTCATCAATCTTTCTGTCAGCTTTCGTCGTTTGCGTTGTAGTATTTGTTGTTTCATTACCATATTTTGATCTTAGTCTGGTAAGCTCTAACTTCATATGTTCTTCAGGATATGCATACTTATTATATTCACCCTTAATATTCTTTTTCCATTCATCGTATTTATCTTCTGCTGATTTCTTAATTGATGCTAGTCCGTTTACAGCCAATTCATCAGTACCGTTATCAGTAGTCTGGTTATATAAAAGATTAGCAGCTGATCTAATTGTGTAATCCGTAAGATTACCAAAACGCTCTATTGTACCTAATGTTGTGTTCTTCAGTTCCTTTCCAATTCCTTGTGCAGCATCTTTGACTAAATCAGCACCCCATGCACCAAATTGTCTCACAGGAGCCGCTATTGATGGTGAAGGAGATGGAGATGGCGATGGAGTTGGTGATGGTGAAGGAGATGGAGATGGTGAAGGAGATGGAGTTGGCGATGGTGTTGCTGCTTTCGCCTTTCTATCAGCTTCTTCCTTAGCCTTTCTATCTGCTTCTTCTTTCGCCTTTCTATCTGCTTCTTCCTTAGCCTTACGAGCTTTTTCTTTCTTCTTAAGTTTAGTCTTAGTTCTTCAGCTTCTTCTTTCGCCTTTCGTTCAGCTTCTTCCTTAGCCTTACGAGCTTTTTCTTTCTTCTTAAGCTCCTCTAGTTCTTTACGTTCAGCTTCTTCTTTCGCCTTTCGTTCAGCTTCTTCCTTAGCCTTACGAGCTTTTTCTTCATAATATTTTGTATACTTATCATCAGCCCAATTACCAAGTGATTTGGCACCTGTTAGTATTCCATTTGCGGTTGATGTTGCTGTTCTTCCGAGCCATCCCCCTACCGCTGAAGCACCATTGCCAATAGCACTACCAGCATTTAAAATTCCACGACCAATCCATATCCCTGGTTTTGCCTTTGTATTAAGAGTAAGAAATTCTTCCTTCCTATCTTCAGGTGTAGGATTTGTAACAGTTCTTACAGTATCAACAACAGTGTCAACACTGGTTCCAATAGCACTACCAACAGCTGTTGCACCAGTTAGAATACCATGGGTAACTAAATCAGTAGCTCTTGAGACAACATTATCACTCGAGGCTTTCTCTGCTGGATAGTTTGATCCTTTGTAAGTTCCTGGACCACCTCTATTTGAAGCTTCTCCTTCAACTATTTTCTTCTCTTCTTGTGCTTGTTCTCTGGCAACACTCAATGCACGTTCTTGTCTTTGAATGTTGTCTTTCTTTAACATGTAACCACCAAGTGTCTGTGGTGGTGTGTTTTTATCTAGTGCAGCATCAATTGCAGCCTTTTCTTTTCGCTTTTCTTCGTCTAACCAATTTTGAATAGATTCTGCATCAGTTGGTTCAGCTGGAGTTGGAGACGGTGTTGGAGCTTTAGTTGGTGTTGGAGACGGTGTCGGAGCTTTAGTCGGAGTTGGAGATGGAGTAGGTGCTTTTGTAGGTGTCGGTGATGGAGTTGGAGATGGAGTTGGAGGTACTGTTGGTTCTGGAGTTGGTTCAACAGTCGGTGAAGGTGTTGGCGCCTTTGTGATTCTTGGAGTTGGCTCTGGTGTTCTAATAGGGGAAGCAGTTGGTGTATTAGCTCTTTTAAGAACCTGTGATCTTTCCGCTTGATTTGAATCAGATACTGGGTTAGTTGTACTAGGATGTGATACAGGAGTTATTTTTGGTGTAGGTGTTGGTTTATTTAATGTTATACCATGACTACTCGACATTGGTGGAGGACCTGCGTGAGCAGTTGGTGTCAGAGTTGGCGTTGGAGCTACTGTAGGAGTTGGCGTTGGAGCTACTGTTGGTTCAGGAGTGGGAGTTGGTGTTGGAGCTACTGTAGGAGTAGGTGTAGGAGTTGGTGTTGGAGTCGACATTTGTTTTAACCTCTCATTATACCAATTCTCCAAATAATAAGCCTCACCCATTAAGTTACTCTGTCTTTGTTTTATAGAAAATTCACCTAACAGTAATTCATCATGAATCATTTTCTGCAGCTTTGTCGTGTTTTCTACTTCCTTTATTAGAACGCTCGATGTATTCGCCAATCCTCTATATTCCTTAATCATCTTATCTAGTTTGTTCATATTTGGTACTTCCTTTTTCTTCTCAGCGTTAATCTCATTAGATCGTTTCTCCAATTCTTCAACTACTTTGTAAAGCTTATTTATCTTGACATGTGATTCCTTTACTTCTCCAGTCCTTGGATCCTTAGGTTCCTTGTATTTAGCTAATTTCGTCTCTATATATCTTCGTTTAGCGTCATATCCAGGATCACTGGTTCGTAAAGGATGCGAAGGTGGACGAAAATAAGGTATGTAGAAATCTGGATCATCATTAATAGAAGAACGTGCTTTAAAGTTACGAACCGCGTCTGTAAAAGGGTCTCTACCACGTGCTGTATATGTTGATGTAATCAAAAAGCCTTCTCTTCTCATTGGGAAATTAATACGACCTTTTTGAACATATTCTTTCTCAAAGTATTGCCTAGCATTGTAATCAAAAGCAAGATCATTATATATATCGCGCAAAAAATCAAATGTATGCTGCTTGAACTTTTGATCGCTAATTATGGTACGAATTATCGGACGTTCATTCTCCCATTTCTTAACTCGTTCATCAATGAGTTTCCTCTCTTGTTCACTCATTTAAACCTCATAAAAATATATTATCTGCGTATAGTGCCACTAATAGCATTAATCCATGGCATGTCTGATAGTACACGTACTGACTGAACTAATGGCTTATGATTGTTCCAAATAGCTCCTCCAATGTATGCGTTATACTTATTGTTGTCAATAGTTTGTTGAGGTTGAACTATAGGTGTTTCAACAGGCTTGTCTCTACTGAAGTCACCACCAAGAGCTTTATTGAATGCTTTAAGATTCTTCGTTAATGCATTATCTTCACCTAATGTAGTTTTTGCAATTCTTTCACCAAGACTACCGATAACACCACCGACTTGACCAACTTGAGGGAAAAGTTTGTTAGCAATGTTAAATCCAGCACCTATTACAAGACCAGGATTTTTTTTCACCATACCCCATCCAGCTTTAACATAATCGCCAAAACCCATTTATTTCTTCTTAAAATAATGTCATCTTTTGTTGCTTAACTTCTTTAAAGTCCGTCTTTCCTGCAACTATATGAACTTCCATATATGAACGAGGTGTTGGTAGCTCTTTGTATTTGTTCCATAACTCTTCCCAATCTTCTGTTGCTCCTGACTGTTCAATCATTGACTGAAAGTCTCTCATAGAATAACCTTGAAAGATAACGAAGTCAGTGCATAGTCTCTTAATGTTTAAACATATATGTCTCCATGTTTGACACATGATGACAACAGTATAGTTATAATGTCTGACCTTAGTGATGAAGTTCGCTAATGGTGAACGTGGGTCATTCAATAAGTCATGACCACCATAATCGTCTAACACTAATAGAGAATTACTGGGATACTTTGTGAAAGGATATTTGTTCAACTTCTTTACAACATATATTGCAATCTTCTTATACTCAAACTTTCCATCAGGTTTCCTTAGTTGATGCTTTGTTAAGATGTGTTCCATCTCCTCTGAAATTTTTTCGAACTTACTTTGAACGAACTCAACAATAGCGTAATACTTTGCTTTCATCTTAACGTTCTTCATTAAATAAGGCATAAGTTCTTTATCATCCTTTTTCAGTACTGGTGCTTTAACTTGACTCATAAATGTCTTCGCTGTTTTATCCATTGTTCCTGATGTTGCTGAGATAACTATTGAGTCATAATATGGAGTATTAGTGAAGCGGTCTGTTATCATTATATGACGAATAACACCATATGTCTTACCTGAACCCATCTTACCGCAGTAGAAATAAACACCATTAGTACAAAATGGATAATCATCAGAAAATGGCATAATGAGTGCATTGTTTAGTTCTTTACTATTCTTACGTGCTCCATCATGAAGAATCTTATCTACTTGATTAATAACTTTCTCCATCTTTTAGTTACATATAAAATGTCTAAATATGATGGATTATACTATGAACATGTTATGAATGATGGCACGATAAGTGGTAATACAGTCTCATATAAATTACCGAGAGACTTCATTGAATATCCTGCGTCAAAAGCTCTTGAGATAAGAAAGATAAGTCTTGAGCATCCAGACTTTGAGTTTCTTGCTATTCCATTAGAAATGACAGATTCATCAAAATCAGTGAAAAAAAGGTTTGACATGAGATATTACATAAAACCCAACATGACTACACAGGAGTTGAATGAAGGTCTTATGGAAAAAATGACTGAGGCAAGTAGAGAATTTGTTGATTGTTACTATGATTCAAATGAAAATAAATTGAATGTATTAAGAAAAGGTACATCACCAATCATAACATTACCTTCATACAGTAGTATAGAAAAAAATGCCTTGAATTATAAATATGACATGTCCCTAGGAGATGTGTTGGATTTCATCACTGCGTTATTAGAAACCACTGAAACAGACACAACATCAAGAAAACCAGAGCTTGTTTGGGAAGATGACCATGGTAGAACATTCACGCAAAAAGTAATTCCATCGAAAGCAAAATTTTTAGACTTATGGGAAAAAAAATATATCTCGCGAATGCATGTATATTATAGTTTTACCATAGCAGATTTCACTGACGAAAATGATAAAGATAAAAAAACATATAAGTACTTTGATGAGCTTTTCATAACTATAGCGAATATCAGGTTTATCCTTGAGCGAAAGGGCAAACCAACATATAAATTTGTCGGTTATCAGATAAGAATAAATCCTCTCCTTGAGCCTTTAGTAACGTTGAGTAATATTGCTCATGATAACAAACAATTTATATGTAATGTGAATGAACAGCTTGTGCCACCAAAATTTTACGATATCACTGGTTATAAAGATGCACTCGTGTTTGAGTTTTATAAGCGCTTTTCATTCAAAAGAGTTGAAGAATCAACTGATGGTCAAAAAAAGGAATATTATGTAAAAGAACCATATGAAATTCCTAAAGACTCTAATATAATGGTTGAACTTATATTAGAGTCTGGTACTCAATCTCAACATAAATAGTTTACGTGACAGAATTTTTTTGACACGTAAAGTTTACATTTTAATGGAAGCGAACAACAAAGCTCCTGCTAAGGCTCTTGCCATCCAGAAGCCAGAGGTGACTGAAGAACAGTCCTCTGGCGACGAGGAAATATTGATGGGTGGCGAGAGTCCGAAGACCGAGATCAAGATCCCAGATCTCGATCACAAGCAAACGGCAAAGAAAACGGGTCCACGAGCTACTCCTCGAGAGCTACGTTTAATCAAGACCAGCCACAAGTATTTGAAGCAGCTGGAGGAGTCAAACGTAGCTCTCGAGGAACTAAAGCTCAAGCTGGCTGAAAAAGTAGAGGAAGCGAAAGGTAAAGAGCTCTACATCAGCCAGCTTGAGTATAAAGTTGACTCTTATGCCAACGAGATCTGCGATCTTCGATCTCGTCTCAACCGTGTGGGACATGAGTCAGACAGCTGGCATGAAAGGTTCCTTAAGGCTGACACATCCTACCATGAATTAAAGCGCGCCATAAGGAACTTAGCCACTGACTTCTGATCCCTCCTCTAAACCACGAATAAACACCTAATTTTACTACTATAACTCTTTTTTATACTCACATTACTCACATATATCCTCATATAACTTATAGTTCATTGTCACTCAGATCACGATCTTTGTGATCACGATCAACTTAGGAAAAGAGAAAAAGTATAAAAGTTAGTATAATTAATTGTTTAGTCTTAAGTAAGCTTATTGTTCATCAAGGAGTTGATGTAAGCGTTTCTTTGCCTCCGTGATCTGCTTCTTTTATAAGCTTACAGTTAAGCCAACAGCAGAGTCTATTAAATATACTGAGAAACCAGTGTTATGCTTCTTACGTCACGTTTGCCTCTCCATACAGATTAAACAGGTGGGACCACCTATCGTACTTCTCGACGATTATGATTTATCAGCCCCTGCTAGTGAATAAAGGTTAGTTTACATATGAACGTTTATTTTTACACATATATGCGTACATATGCGCGCCCGTATGGTGTCAGTTTTCTGTCACTTTTTTCATTGTGTCGGTGCCTGTAGCTGTAGGCTACAGGCGACGCACAATGTATACTGTACTTGTAAATAAGATATAAAAAGGTGTTTATGAATACTTTAGCAGAACTTCTACTGGTAGAGTTTATACTGGCAGAACTTCTACTGTTTCCCTCAAAATTGAATACTTTAGCAGAACTTCTACTGGCAGAATTTCTACTGGCAGAATTTCTACTAGTAAAGTTTCTACTGGCAGAATTTCTACTGGTTATATATGGTGTCAATTTTTTAAAAAATTTTGAATTCAATGAGTTATATCAAAAATAAAATTCTTGAATAGAGTAAAAAAATTTAAATAATTTATTTAAATATTTTCTTCTGACATTTTTGAATAATTTATTTTTTTAATTCGTAAGAAAATGAGTGGATCAAGATTCGTAACCGTCAATCAATTAATGGATGCTCTTTCACCAATTCTTGAAAATGTTAAACAAGTAGATGTTTATTTCGATGATTATGTAGAAAGTTTATATTATAAAGGTAAACATAATATTAAACCCATTGCTTTTGCATTTGATAATAAATTAATTGAAAATGCAAAAATTTGGGAATTAATTCCAGATATTGAATATATAACGAATATAACTAATAAATGGTTCAAACGAATTCCAACCACAAAAGTTCTTTGTAAATTAATGATCAAAACCGAGGCCAAAGAATTTCATGAATTTACATATCATCCAAATAAAGTTTCAGAACTAGAAAATGAAAAACTTCAGAAAAAATTAAACGATAGACTTTCAAATGATCGTATTGAAAAAATAAATAAACTAGCAGAAGTTGCATTGAATAATGAAATATTTGATGAATATAACCTTGAACTCAGTGATGGGCTTTAAGGACCCGGGCTCAACGAGTCATGATTTATGAAATCAATAATTTGATTTATTCGCTCTTCAATAATTTCTATTCTTTTTGTTAAATCATCTATTTTCATTAATGAGGTGATTCTTGATTGAGGAATAGATTTCAAACTAACCACTCCTTTTATTTTTGAAATTTTGAATCCATCAACTTTAAACATTTTATTCAATTTACATGTTGTCAATTCTTCAAATAATTTTTTATTATTGGCATAATAGTCATTAAATTCTTCAACAGATGAAAAATTTTTTATTTCAGTAATTGGTTTAACAACGTTTATTTTTTGTTGAACATTTTCACTTTCATTTATTTCTTCCTCCTCTGTTTCATTTATTTTTAAAATTGGTTTCATTTATCATTAAATAAAAATTAGAATATAAGTGATGAAATATATTTTTAATTTTAATGAAATAATCAGAAATGGCGGCAGGATTCTTTAAAAAATTATGGGATGGAATTAAGAAAGCTGCGGGTTGGGTTCATCAAAAGATTATTAAACCCATTGCAAACTTTTTGGCACCAGTAGCGAAAACGGCAGGAACTATCATAGGTGGAGTATTAGGTGCTAAAGCAGGTAATCCGGCGATGGGAGCACAAGCAGGTAACGCAGTTGGTGGAATTGCTGAAGGAATACTTAATAAAATAGGAGGTAGATAGTGGAAAAATAAATAAATAAATATTATTTTTATCTTAGTATCGGTTGTAGTCTTTGATAAACTTTTTCTCCTTTATTTAAAATTTCTCTTATTGGGGCAGCTTTTGGTGTTATTGATTCAGCAACGTCACTAATTGCTTCTTTATTCTTAAATATCCAATTTGCTCCCTTCTTCAATGTTTCCCAAACTTTACTCGCCCCTCTTTTTACTTTATCCCATAATTTTTTAAAGAATCCTGCAGCCATAGTTGATTATTTCATTAAAATTAAAAATTCATTTTCATCTTTTAATTTTGATTTTTTATTTATTAATAAATGACGACTAACTATTTAGTGCCAAACACCAAACCGATTAATGGAAATGTGTTTCATTCATTCGAAAAGATAAATGAAATATTTGCAAAGAATGACGGTAGAAGATATTATAGAGAACTTGAAAGTTCATGCTATGACTCTGATACTCCATATTTTGATGATAAACAAACTCATTTAAGAATTACAAATCCAGCTCATGATGTGAACCAGTTAGGTGACACATATATTAAACGCAAAATTAAAGTAACTCTAGTTTCAAATAAAGCTTTCACATGTGATGCCGCTTTTAAATGCATGCGTTTATTCGTTGGTTACAAATCATCAAATCAAAGCTTTAAACAATTAGAAGTAGAAACCGAAAGAGGTGATGCTGGTTATCTTCAGATGGATTGCGCCCGTGAATCTTTCGCATTTGCAACATATAAACCGAAATCAGAAAGGAAAGTTAAAAAGTTTGTTCATTCGTTATATAATAATGTTCAAAAATATGATAACTCAGTATGTGGAAAATATATTGATCCTTCAGAAGTTTTCAAGAAAGCAAATGAAGAAGTTGATATCACTTTTGATATGATTATTCCGGTAAATGATTTGTTAGCATTTCAGGCGTTCGATGATTATCCTAAATCATTTGGTGATATCATTCTTAAATATTATGTTTTCAGGGATACTTTAGTATTTTGTCAGGTTGACCCGTTAAGAGTTGCTGATTTACAAAATTACGTTTATGAAAAGATAACTGATGAAAATTATGAAAAGATTATGAATCATGTTTATAAATATGATCGCAAATTCCAACAAATCGGACTTCCTGCCAAATTAATTACAAGCTTAGCCGCTACATCTGCTGACGCAACAGTTGAGGGCGTTATTATTTCATGCACAAAGATGGAAGTTTTAGAGGATAAATGCATTACACCAGGATACGGTTTAATTGAAGAATCAGTTAAAGCAATACCACGTTTATTCAGTAAGGAAGATCCATTCATGATTCCAGCTCAACATATTGACGTTCGTTCACTAAATGGAGGTTGCATCACTCCTGAAGGTATTAGCTCAGATTTCTCATACGCTCTTCATAATGTTACAGATGTTGTGTTAACATTTCCGAAGAATGCAATGCAAAGAACGGTTTTAGAAAATCCAATGCTTCGAGGTCTTCAGGTCACTATAGATTCCAGAAACTTCCCCGATCAAGCGATGACCACAGTGGGTGACATATTCTTTACACGTATGCTTCAAGCTTCTGATTTAGATGGAGTGAATCTTATATACGAAAAAAAGAGATCTGACATTGTGTCAGATCTCAGTAAAAGTGACATTTACATGTCAAAAAAATAGAATGAGTTTAAGTAATTAAAATTGAGGGTGAGAGTAGTATTGTATGAAATAATATCTCTCACCCTCCAATTCATCCTATGGCGCCGAAAAAATTTTGGTGAAATGCGACCACATTTCACCAAAATTTCTCGGCGCCATATAGAGAACTAGAGCCTGTGAGGTACTGATACTATCCATGTACCTCGCAGGCTCTAGTTCCAAGCCAAAATGGCTAAAAATTGCCCGCAATTGTTCACATTGCGGGCAATTTTTAGCCATTTTGGCTGGGAATTGGAGGGTGAGAGTAGTATTGTATGAAATAATATCTCTCACCCTCCAATTCATCCTATGGCGCCGAAAAAATTTTGGTGAAATGCGACCACATTTCACCAAAATTTCTCGGCGCCATATAGAGAACTAGAGCCTGTGAGGTACTGATACTATCCATGTACCTCGCAGGCTCTAGTTCCAAGCCAAAATGGCTAAAAATTGCCCGCAATTGTTCACATTGCGGGCAATTTTTAGCCATTTTGGCTGGGAATTGGAGGGTGAGAGTAGTATTGTATGAAATAATATCTCTCACCCTCCAATTCATCCTATGGCGCCGAAAAAATTTTGGTGAAATGCGACCACATTTCACCAAAATTTCTCGGCGCCATATAGAGAACTAGAGCCTGTGAGGTACTGATACTATCCATGTACCTCGCAGGCTCTAGTTCCAAGCCAAAATGGCTAAAAATTGCCCGCAATTGTTCATATTCCCATCTTTTGTTGGTAAGACGAAGAATATGAAATAAATTATGAAGAAGATAATGATGAATAAAATATCACTTTTTATATTTTTGACACGTAAAGTTGTCACTTTTCTATCAAACTGTTTTTATCGTTTTCGTATATAACATGAATGAATGCACAGAAGAATATGAGGACTCATTAACTAGACCACTGAATGATGATAATGGCACGCCATTAGCTAGAACATGGAAAGACCAAACTTCATTCTTATGCACTATTCCAGTTCAACGTGATGGAGCGGGTATATTCTTTGATGGATTAGAAACTTTCAACTCACAAGTTACAGTACAAGTGAAAGCTTATCCAATCATTCAGGGTGAAAATGACACTTACTGTTCAAAGGTGACAAATCCTCCTCAGGTTTGGTTTACTAGGACTACATATTGGACATGGACACCGGATGAATGTTTGAAATATCATCCAACAGGTACACCATCACAGTATAGAAGTTCATATGATGAAATATTGATGAATAGAAATGTTTAAAATTATAAATTTATTTTTGATTAAATGGATTTAAATTCATCCACCCCTTATGAAGAATTAGCGGGAGTATATAATACATACGTAGATGATATGATTAATGAAGCATTGAGTGATAATAGAAATGCTCTATCTAAGGAAAAATTAATGAAAATTCCATATTCTGAATGTTACTTAAATTCAATCACTGCAGCAATTGGTAAACAAAATAAAGGTAAAACATTAACGATATTAAAACAAATTATCATTATTGCTAACACTTCCCCTATTCACATGTGTTAATTTATATCAACCGTTCAGGTTCACCTTCAGATGATACATTTGAATCTTTAAAGCATTTAATCAAAATTCCAATTATTTATTTATCACAAGAAGAAGCAGAAGATTATTTAAAAAACTTTTTAATGTATAAAGAATTATATAATACAATCAAGAAGCAAGGATTAGAGGATAAAATTATTGATAAACAACGGGATGAATTATTTGAAACACTTTCTATTTCAAATTTTGATAAAGAATTTTTGCATTCACTAATTTTTCTAGATGATGCAGTGAAATCAAAACTAACAAATGAGAAATCATATTTTAATCAGTTATTAACTCAATGTCGACACATTCAGTGTTCATTCTTTATGGCTGTTCAATATTTCAAAGCATTAAGCACAAACATTAAATCAAACCTGTCCACCCTTTTCATTTTCAGTGGTTTTAGTCGTCAACAGTTGAACGTTATGCTTTATCAAGTGAATTTACCAATGAGCATTAATGAACTTTACACACAATATCAACAATTAGGAGAACATGGAAAAATAATAGTTGATTTAAATAAAGGTTCCATTAAATTGAATTAACTTTTTATAATTAATTTTTATTTTTTATTTATAATTAAACATGACAGAAATAGCAAATCTTCTACAGGTTCCATTAAAACAAGGAACAAACAAAAAGGGTGCATATAATAGAACTATGAAAGTTCCTGATGGAATGAAAGAATTAGTTCATATTGTTGCTGGTCTTCAAAAAGATGTTAAACAAATGAGAAACGTTTTAACATTACCAGAAGCTCAAGCATATGCCAAACGTCAAGGTCCAAATTGGGAAGCACATGAAGCAGACATTACGGGTCCAAATGGAAAACCTGATGGTATAAATGAAGTTTTCGTTACTGATGGTCAAGGTAATATTAAAGTCATAAATGGGTATAAATTAACTATATCTGATTATCCTAAACGTAAAGCATATAATGAACGTTATCCTATGCAATTTGATGAAAATGGAAAAGCTGTTAAACAATACATTGGAGAAGGTGAAAATGGTCCAATTAATTCATACCGTTATAATCCATATTCTTATTTCAATGAAGAATTAAATGCTATTGAAGAGGGACCGGATGGATTACCACGATATGTTAATCAGTTTGATGGTCAATATGCAAATATTAGACCCGAAATTTCAGCTAAGAAATTCTTTAAAGTTGCTTTATTCGATCCGGTGTTCAATGAACAGAAAGAAGCAATGAAAGCAGAATTTAAACCAATTCAAGTGGCAAGAATTTCTTCATCTTCACTTTCAGAAGCGTTCAAGGAATTGATAAAGAAACCACTTTATTCTCAACGAGGTTTAACTTATGATTTAGTTAAGGAATCAGATAAAAGAAAATTGAGAAATCAGTTGATTATAAGAATGCATGTAATGAAATGATTAAAGATATTGTAAATGATAAAATAAGACTGGGAGAAACTCAAATCATTATCAATAACATAATTGGTGCAGTTACAAAGAAAGTATAAGCAAACAAGGATGAACCTTGGGATATTACCGTAACAACTAAATAAAACTTTAAATATATTTTTCTTTTTTTTATTCAATTATAAATGAGAAGACGTTTCACAAGTCAAAAGAACACAAACGCAAAAGCAGAGATTACGGTTGGTTATAACGTAAATGATGATAAATCACGAATTATTCAAAATGTTAAAGTTAATGTTAGTCCTGAATTAACAAGGTCAGCAACTCAACCAAATTTATTAACTCGTGACTTACCAAAGAATGAGGAGGAGCAAAATAAAGAAGATGGAGACCCAATCATTTTATCTGAACCCGGTAAAGAACCTGTTGAAATTCCCACTTATCCAACATACCCCCCGCCTCTTTCATCAAACATCGAGAACCCAGGAATCTACGATCCCAGTCGCAATGCGCCATATAAAATAGACATTAATTCTGAATTAATGAAAATTTACCGTGATATAATAACTGATAATTATGATTCAATAATAAATTTAATTGATCAATCTGGTTTAATTATTTTACCTTATGAATCATTAATTCACATTATCGCCATTCTTTGTGATGTTCAAGATTCAGACGTTAAGATTCAATTTTTCATAGATGATGAGGTTTCATGCTGCGGAACAGTTGCAAAAATAAATCCTATAAAGGATATTAGCACAATTAAGATATCAAAGAATGGAACAACAACTGAACTACATTTAACTTATAATAACATATACAATAAAATAGTTGATGAATATAAAATATCACTTGAAAAATTCTTTGTTAAGGCTATTTAATATTCAAGCATTAACATTATCGAATAATAATCCTTTGAATCATAATCAATAATAATTGACCTTTCACCAGTTTCTATCGTTTGTTTTATTTCTTTTTATTTCCCACTATCCGGATCGGTCATTGTAATTGTTTTTGTTATAGTATCAGCTTTATCTTTAACTTCAATCTTTTTTCCATCAGGATATTTAAACCAAAATTCCAAAAATTCGATATTGTCAATCTGTTCATATTTTAATCTATCAATTACATTTTTAATACCATCTGAAAATCTGATGAAATGGTCATTATATGGGTTTGATTGAACTAAATTTGAATGAAGTGAAATATAACCTGTTGATGAATATGACATTGACTCGTATTTTCTGAAAACACTAAAATTTATAACATGAATGAATTTCTTATTCGTTGAATTTATGAATTCTTGAGGTAATCTTATTCTAGTTTTATTTATCACTGGAAAATAACGCTTTACCATATTTTTAATCGTAATAAAAATGTCAATTATCAATATTATTTCGAATAATAGTTGTGAATTAAATTTAACAGTTAGCGGAATTTATAATGTTACTCTCGTTTCTGTGAGTGGTAAATTTAATCCCATTCTTTTAGACCCTTCAGATTATATATCATTTATTAAAGATGACCTTGAAAAAACGTATGATATGTATATAAATAATGTGATAGCGAAATGGGATATTAACATGATTTTAAGTTATTTAAATGAATCATTTATCGTATGGTATGAAGAAAAATTTAAATCAAAACCCGATAAACTTTTTGAACTTGATGAAATAAATAACCTTATTAAATTTCCGCTGAAAATTAAATTTTGTACTCCTCATCTTCGTTCATTGTTGGGGATATTAAATTTTGAAAAAGATGTTGGGGATGTTTTGTATTCTGACACTGGTTCCAATTTCATTTTAATCAAATGTGATAAAGTTAATACCCCAATGAGATTTTCACATCAAACATTAGACCCTAACTCTTACCCATCAATACAAAACATTTTATCCATCAACTTAAACACATTTTCTTTATCATATCCGTTTCAATTATCCGGGAATTCATTTATTCTTCATTCAAAAGATTTATCAAATATTAAATTTAGAATAACTGACCTATTTGATTGTGATTTAGAATTTATGAATGAAATATTATGGCAATTTCAAATAGAAAAAATAGCTGATGAGATAACGGATTAAATATTTATTTTTAAATCATAATAAATGATTAAACAACAGCAACCACAACAACTTAAGGCACAAAGCACCCAGGTCCTTCAGACCATTACATACGCCATATATGCATATAATTCAAAGACGGCAGAACAAACGCAAAGGTTGAAATATGGAGATTTGGAGATAGTATTGAAAAATGAACATTTCGAATTCGTTTGCAAAGGTGGTGCAGTGATATCAAATATAAAAGAAATTTTATTTATGAATTCAAAAATTAAAGGAATAACGGATGATATAACATCAATTCCACCAGAAGAACAAAGATATTACGCATTAAATGCATTTCCTAAAGTTTTGAAGATTGGAAGATTTAATTTAAATGAGGAATTCATAAAAGGTTTCCTAAATGACATAATGAAGAAAGCAGATAAGGAATATGTGGCTAGTGAGTTAATGAAGAAAGCAGATAAGGAATATGTCAACAGTGAGTTAGAGAAGAAGGTAGATAAGGAATATGTGGCTAGTGAGTTAGACCTTAAAGCAGATAAGGAATATGTCAACAGTGAGTTAGAGAAGAAGGCAGATAAGGATTGTGTGGCTAGTGCGTTAGACCTTAAAGCAGATAAGGAATATGTTAATGAAAAAGATAATGAAATTAAAGAAAGGGTTGAATGGTATCATGAATGGGCATCAAAGATTTTAAAAACTAAAGCTGATACAGGATGGGTTTCAGGATGTTTAGACCTTAAAGCGGATAAGGAATATGTCAACAGTGAGTTAGAGAAGAAGGCAGATAATGAATATGTTAATGGAATATACCAAAGTTTGATAGGAACAACTGAAAATATTGAAACTATTGTTGGTGACTTTTCTGTCAATGAAGAAAATAAATATTTTAGATGGCAGTTTGTACAGTCCTTAAGAAATGGTATGCGGTGTAAACTCATTCCGAAAAATAACAATGAAATGTATGTAAGCTATATAAAGAATGATGGTACACAAGTTAAAGTTCCATTAGACAACAACTGTTACTTAAACTTATATGGAGACGAACAAAAGAAATATTTAAGAGTTTATGAAATGACAGATATGACATTGCCTAACCCAGCTCCAGCACCATATTATTATGACTATGGAGATGATGTCAGAACACCACATGTAGATGAACAAAAGTTAACATTATATTTAGATTATTATAGATATAAAAGATATAATGCAATAGAAAAAACAAGAATAGTATATTATTATATAGATGACAAAAATAAATATTATAGTCAAGATTTTACCTACCCTGAAAACATAAGATTATATTATAAAAAATATTCCGACACAAACCAGAAGAAACCTGAAATAGTTGCACTATATTTTAAGTTCAAAAGAGACAATCCTATATTATCTCATATGTTTGATTTAATGAACCCAGTAGGTTCTATTTATACGTCTATGGATGCAAGAAGTCCTCAAGTAATGTTTGGTGTTGGTGCATGGGAACAAATAGTCGACAGGTTTTTGTATTGTGCAAACTCTTCAAAGGAAATGGGTGGAAGTAAAACGATTACAGGTGAAAATTTACCTGCACACAGTCACTACATAGATTTAAGTACATCTCAAGCGGGTTGGCATAAGCATAGATATTGGGATTGGTCAGGAATGACAAAAGGTAAAGGATATGATGTTAAAGATGACGTTAAGTTTGCTATAAATTGTTACTGGAGTGACACTCAGGGAGAAGGAAACCATACACATTTCGTTTCAGGATATACACAAACAACGGGACAAGGTAAAGAATACATGCCACCTTACATGACAGTTTACGCATGGTATAGAGTTCAATGAAGCTGCTGACGACTCTATTGCGTTTTACCCTCGACATAAATTAGTTGAAAGTAGGAATGGCAAACTTGCTGAAACCATTGACGAAGCAAAGCGAGGAGTGGTTATTGAAATACTTGGCTATAACATAAACGATGACACTTATAAAGTAAGATATGAAGGAGGCGTTGAAGATGTTATACCATCTAAGAACTTGAGAGAGTCAATGACAACACATCTGGGACCATTAGAGCGGGAGTACTGGAAAGACAAAAATAAGCCAGAAAGAATAAGAAAATTCTTCTAAACTTTTTCATTAGATGTAAATCAGACATGAATGAGAACAGTCATGATATTATTAATGGTACCATTTATTTTTGTCATAAAGACGCAAACGGACTCTTTGAGTCCTGAGGTCTTTCAGACCGAAGCGGCGAGGACGAAGTCCATGAACAAAAATCATGTTTATGTTAGCATGTTAGATCTCACCCGTTTTCTAACCACTTTTCTAACATGGTCTAAAACTCTCGAAAATCATGAATTTTTGACATTTCCTTATGAAAGAAAAATAACGCTAATTTTTTTCAAAGAAAAAATTTTTATCTTGTATGTAAAGATATGATTTCAACAATAGGTTCTACAACACTTCAAACAACAACTTCACCAAACTCTTTAGTTATGAATCCAACATCTATGTTAGTAGAGATGAAAAGCTTCATTCCTTCTTCATATACTTTTGAGACAGAAATACAAAGAATTAAGCAAGAACTTTTAACAAGTAATTTAGACTGTAGTGCGAAAGATGAAACAAATGAACAGTATCTTTATGACATGCAGGACATTATTGACCATTTACCCAAATTGCCTGAAATCCAACGACAAAAGCTCACTATTCATGAATTCGATGAAATAGAAGTGAAAACAACTGACTCAGTAGAAATAAAGAAGTTCATACGTAAAGTAAACTATGAGTTTCTAGGATATCATTGCAACCATAAAGTTATGGACAAAGATTGCGACATGGTATATAAGAACATCTCTGACATATATAAATCTGGGGAGTTTAAGACATACGACAACTTTGTTTCATTAGTTGCTGAATGTGTTTGGGAAATAAGAGATAAAGATAGAAGAGGTAAGGTATGGCATGAACAGTTAAAACCAGCAGCTTTTGAGTTAAAGAAAACCATTGACGCCTTAGTTGTTCTAGCTGGTTTTATTTCAATGTATAACGCAAAAATGAATCCGCAATGTTCAAAATGTAAAGCAGCAATGAGGAAATATAACTACTCCGTCAAAGAGATAGAACGTATGAGAAACGACTATGCTGACTTAAAGAAAGAAGTAGAGAAACCAGCAGAAGATAAAATGGATATGTTGACATTTCTGAACAAAAACTATCCAACTGCTGACGATTTCCTATTATCTGATGTCAAGAAGAAATATAAAGAAACCTTCGGCATAGTTAAAATTTTTGATATCCTTCGTGAAGAAATAGAAGCTACAAAACTGTTTAAAGTCATGAACCATCGCAACATATACCATGTAAAACGCTTGTAAATAGCTTTCTTCGATGTTAGAAAAGTGGTTAGAAAACGGGTGAGATCTAACATGCTAACATAAACTTTATTTTTGCATTAATCCCACTATGTTGTCAAAATGTCATGTTGTCAAAATGTCATGTTGTCACTATTTTTCAGAGAAGTTAAATTACCGAGTGACACATAGTGACATAGTGACACCTTCAGTTCTTCAAAAATAATTCATTAGTTAGAAAAATAACGCTAATTTTATTTTTATATCTTTTTTATTTTGTATGTAAAGACAGTAATGACAAACATTGAGTTTGA